TTGTTTTCAAAATTATTGTAAACAATCTTGGGGAATGCTTCTAGACTAAATTAAGGTTCCTAAGATTAGTTTTTAGAAACCAACAGAGTGGCAGGAATTGATCAGAGAAGGAGCGGACGGACTGAAACGAAGCAACGAGGACAGAGGCTCTCAAAGGAGGTGAGAGCCGGCTCCATGGATGTGGGAGCCGGCTCCCACAACAAGTAGAGCCGGCTCTAGGGAGTCTAAGTTTCTATGTACTATGTTCACTGTTGGAGCATGGAGACTATTTGAGTGAACTTGGAACTTTACAGAGGGATTAAGGAATGAATTTTGAGTGTTATTAAGACCCTAAATTGATTAAAGTTTAATTCTAAATTGTCGGGACAAACAGTGTAAAAAAATTAAGGCACTTCCTATGTTGTTAACAAATGGAAGTTGAATTAAATTTCAGCAATTTGATGGAATATAATGTGTTTATAAAACTTGTTTTAGAATGCATTCAAGTGCATGATAAGGTCATTTAATTATTAATTTTGATCTATGCATGCTTATGAGGCTAGTTGCTGAATTATTAAATCGTTTCCTGCAACTATATGGTTAATGCTTGGATTTAAATTGCCGAAATATTAAACAATCTTCTGAAATTGTTTTAGCAATTTATTGGATAATAATAGGATTATTTAACCTATTCACATGCATGATGGAGTCCCTGACATATTAAATTTGGTCTATGCATGCTCTGGATGTTAGTTGTTGATTTATTAAATCGTTTCCTGCAACTATATGGTTAAATGCTTGGATTTAAATTGCTAAAGCTTTAAATATTTTTCTACAATTATTTGGATGGTGGTTTTTGGGTCTGTAAATTATTGAACTGTTATATATGTTGTAATTTACATGGATATGGAGGATTGTATGTACCGGTATGGGACGGTGACATACTAGGGACGGTTTAGCTTAAAACGCATAAACCTAACCTAACGGATTAATGAAATGGATTGGAAGATATCGAATCCTAATTGTGACTAAGTCAAATCAGCTGTAACCAAGTTGGATGACTTCCTGGATTAACGGATGGTAGTTAAGTCATATCAACTGAATAAGTTGAGTGACTAACTAGTTGGTTTATTGTATGTCAGTTTAATAAATAGTTGAACTGCATACCCTAGATTTGGACGGACTTTATATATATGTTTATGGTACCACGAGTTGAGCTTGAGCCTCAGACTCGTTGGTTAGGGTGCGTATATGCGGTGGATGCGTAGCTGGTTATAATAGGTTGAGGTGTACCATGTTAGGTCTAGGTACTCATGCCCACCTTTGGGTGCGTATTTGCATGTTGCCTTCTATTCAGGTTGAGACCCCTATTATAGACTAATGAATGTCACTTAGTGTGGATATATTTATATGTATGGACTAGATAGATATTGTGAGGTGTCTACGGTGTATCTGCGTATCGGGTCACTGTATGGATTGCAGTTAGATTAGAACTTGCTCGTGGGTCTGACCCACTCCTTCATTATTCTTTTCAGGTACAGGACGGTTCCAGCCTTAGAGCTTGATCGTGCTTGTCGAAGACAGTCTCACTTTCATCTGATTACGTAGGACTTCTCTCGATGTTTCTAGCATTATCTATTTTCAGTTTTCAGTTTCAGTTGAGCTTTTGGTTAGGGGTCCATCAATGGATTCCCAAGTTGTAACCTTGAAGTTTTGGAGGATTGGAGTTTCAATTTTTAGTTATATATGGAGGGTTTTATTATTATTATTTCTTTCAGCTTTATTGTTTCTTTTTGTCATCTGTGTTCGTTTTAAAATACTTTAATTGTTTGATATTCCCTCGGGTTTGGGCCTGGGCCTGATCAACCCGTGTCTCGGATCCGAGGGGTATCACATTACAGCACGTCGAGAGGCGGCTCTTTTTGGAAAAGTGCAGGCTCCTTTCGAAAAGAGCAGGCTCTTTTGTTTTGTTACGTACTGGAGTTTGTTTTAGGCACTGTTTGGGTGTTTTTGGTGTTCCAGAATAGATGCGGGTTGGTTGTATGGATTCTAAATAATTTTTCAAGACATCTTAAGCTTCCATAATGCATTATTTATATCTGTGTGCTAATAGTTAGAACAATATGAAATTTTAAACAAGTTTACATATTGTTATTGGATGAGGAGAATTAAATTGCTTAAATATTATTTTAGCAATCTAATGACTGTGATTATGATTTGATTTTAATATTTATATTGGATGCATAATACGCTATTGATTAGAACAATATGAAATTTTAAACAAATTAGCATGTTGTTAATGGATATAAAGGATTTAATTGTTTAATCTTAGTTTAGCAATTTAAAGAACTGTGATGTGTTTTTTAAATCTTGTAATGGATGCATAATATGATTATATACATATCAGATTTTTATTATGCTTGTTCTGGACTATGATTGATAAATTGTTTAATTTTGTTTCTATCAATTATATGAATTTTGTGAATTATATGCATATGGGACGGTGGCATATTAGGTACGGATTAGATCAAAACGCCAACTCTTACCTATTCTGGATTTTAATTGTTGAACTGCTTTATCTGTTTTATCAATTATTGATTTGTTTTGTGAATTATATGTATCGGTATAGGACGGTGGCATATTAGGTATAGATTAGATCAAAACGCTAACTCCTACCTATTTTGGAATAAGGGAATGGATTAATTATAATATTTAAATCTTACTTATATTTCGTGTCATGGCAATGAACAGTTGAGCGGCACTACTTTAATTTTGGATGGATTTTAAATATATAATTATGGTACCACGATATGAGCTTGAATCTCAGAGTCGATGGTTAAGGAGCGTATATGTAGTGAGATGCATAACTGGCTATGATAGGTTGAGGTATATCCTGTTAGGCTTAGGTACTCATGGCCACTTCAGGTGCGTTTTGCATGTTACCTTCTATTCAGGTTGAGATCCCATTTGTAGTCCAGTGAGAGTCCTTTAGTGTGAATATATATATATATATTGTTTGTGGGCCTGACCTACTATTATTTTTCAGATATTCGTCAAGAGTAAGGATTGTTCGTGCTGAGCAGGGATTGTCGACTTCACTCTTCCGGATTATTTACATAGAAGTTTTCTTTATGTTTCAGTGTTCTAATGTAGTAACTTGTTCAGTTGGGATTTTATAGGGATCCACATAGTGTGGATTCCCGAGTTATATTAGTAATGGAGAATTGGATGTATCAGAATATTTTCTTATTTATAAAAATTTATTCTAAGGATTTCATTAATGGATTTTTGTTTTAGTTTTCTTTCAGCAATTTTATTTATTTATTTTTATCATATTTGTATTCTGTGTTCGATTATTGTCATTTGTTTTTTATATTCTCGAATATTTGGGCGTGAGCCTAGCCAACCAACATTTGAAAATCTGGAAATATCACATTCATCAACCCCTGTGTGTGTGTGTGTGTGTTCATTCTTTTTCTCTCAGTAGAAGAATGATTAAAACGGTGGTGGAAAATTAAATAAAAATAAATAAAAAAAAAGGGAGAATGCAACTATTTTTCTTTTTAAAAAATGATTACACAGAAATGGAAAAGAATGTGAGAAAATGGTTGGTTGGTGGCGTTGCTCTGTATAGCGACACTCCACCGACACAACTACTCCATAATTATTGATACAAATTGGGTTTATATATATACAAGGGTTGCCAAGGTCCCACCTACTTTTCGAAGGATATGGAGAAGATTGAGAGAGGTTCAAGGCCTTGTCAAGACTTTTTGATTAATCAATAATGCATGGTGTAGTATGTCAGAATTTTCATTGTCAGTTAACAGGGCATTTAAAGCCTAAACAGCTGCATCTCTTGCATTATTTTATCTTGGTAATGATTGTCACATCGTTAATGGGGGGGGGGGAGTAGAGCTGAGACATTATTAGTTTTATTTTTAAATTTTTCAAGAATGTTAAGTGTTAATGGTTAAAGAATAAAAAGAGGATATAAGGGTAAAACCCAGTCTATCAATTATGAGGAGCAATACAATTACTCAGATAATACGGCATTTGTAAAAAAAAATTAGAAGACACAACTAACAAGAGTGTTGAAACATTTTCATGATTTTTTTCATTTTTCACCTTAAAATTATAGCACATTTAAATATATTCTTAGATACATGAAATGGGCATTATTTTAGTCTTTCGTATTGAACAATGAAAATCACACTAAGGTTGCGTTTGTGTTGGTTCAAAAGAGGAAAATTGTACGGGTGGAAAAGTTAAATCAATTCGTTAGTTTGGAATTCACTGTTTGATTGATTTCGTTCTTTTAAAATGTTTGAAGTCCACTGTTATGTGTTAGTGGTTGAAACGTTTTCATGATGTTTATTATTTTTAATCCTAAAATTATAGCACATTTAAATATATGAAATGAGAATTATTTTAGTCTTTCACATTGAACGATGAAAATCACAGTAAGGTTGCATTTGTGTTGGTTCAAAAGAGGAAAATTGTACGGTGACTAAAATTTTCTCCAGTGAAAAAGCTAGGTCAACCCGTTAGTTTGGAGTTCACTGTTTGATTGATTTCATCTTTTTGAAACATTTGGAGTCCACTGTTAGGTGTTAGTAGTTGAAACGTTTTCATGATGTATATCATTTTTCATCCTAAAATTATAGCACATTTAAATATATACTTAGATACACGAAATGGGCATTATTTTAGTCTTTCACATTGAATAATGAAAATCACATAAATGATGCATTTGTGTTGGTTCAAATGAGGAAAATTGTAGGGTGAGCAAAATTTTCTACAGTGAAAAAGCTAGACAATCCGTTAGTTTGGAGTTCACTATTTGATTGATTTCATCATTTTTCAGTACATCATAGAGCACGACTCACTTAAGAGGATTTTGATTTGAATATCGCACGTTAGGGCCAAAATTTTCAGCACATGAGATCAAAAGCTCATGTAAAGTATTACCCCTTTCCTTCACAACTCTTTTGGTAAGCATTGTGTCAAATTATATTTGTAAACTGTAAAGCATTACATGGATGCCATAACACATTCTCTGATCGCTTAATAAACACACAGTTAAACACAAATTCAGATGATTACACACACTAGCAGGCCCAAGTCTAGCCGAGCCTGCGAGCACATAATGTTTTTTGAAAGATTAAGCAAATGCACACAAGGCCACTATATTTTGTCCCTATCGTACCCCTGCCCAAGGAATAAACCATCCCTGCAATCCCTTTTCCAAGCAGCATTTTAAGTTTTTGACATTGACATAACATAAAATTATCTAAAAAACTCCTGAGGTTTTATTCTTCACACACACTCAGGAATAAGTGGAAATGAGTTTAGTAGAGACGCCTGCAGATGGTGATCCCATCGCCCAATGGAGCCTGCGCTATTTGAACGCGAAGATCAGCTGCCAATGCTTTGTTGAACTCAACCGCGAGGTGCCAGTCCGGTTTCCTGGCCTCTGGAGCCGACGACGGGTCAGGCAGAGCCACTGTACCTCCCCAGAGAGTGTTGTCATAGATCACTATCCCCCCTATCTTCAACAATTTCATTAGCCTCTCATGGTAATTCAGGATATTTTCCCTGTCTGCATCCACAAAAGCAAAGTCGAAACCCCCTTCATTCTCTTTCTGTCACAAAAACCCAACATAATGTCAATAATCCAACTCAACAAACCCTTAATAACCTTCAACATTACTCTCCACAATATATATATACTTACATCTTCTAAGAGTTTATCAAGAACCGGAAGAGCTTGAGACTGAATGAAGTCAATTTTGTGTTCAACACCAGCTTTTTGAATATATGGCAAACCAATCTCATATGTTTTCCTATTTATATCCAAGGCTAAAACCTGCAGCATTGTATAAAGTCATAAATATATAGTTGAGTGGACTGACTATATGATTGGTGATCAAATGAAGCAAACCTTTCCATCTTCAGGAATTGAAAGAGCAGTCAGGAGAAGGGAGTATCCAGTGTAAACTCCAATTTCAATAGTCTTTTTCGCATTCAGTGTCTTCAAGATCAAGGCCATAAACTGACCTGCGTCGGGTGCAGTCATCAAGAAGTTCCTGTACAATTACATGCATGGTAAGTTATCTTCTTTCTGCTAGGCAACAGGAAATAAACCACACTTCAATTTAGTGAAATACGGGGAAGGGTGAGAATCATCACGTACTACTACATGGTATGATTGGTCCACTTTGGTGATAGAGTTAACACGGTGATCTTCACCATCCTTGTGCACTGACCGTCCACAAGAGAGTACCCAAGTTTGAGATTGGGAGCCGTTGCATTTGACAAGAGATCTAAATGCAATTATTAAATTTTGTTTTCCAAAGCACTCAACTTGAAACCATTGCAGAGAGCTTATTTCGGGTACAAGCTTCATTCTTATGCCTTTGTAACAGTACGGACGCAGTCCTAGTAGTAACCATGTCTATTGGGCTAATGGCTTTTTCTTCAGCCGAAGCTGAGGCCCACTGTACTATATTTTATTTTTATAAATTTGCTTGAAATTTCCAAAAAAAAAAAAAAAAAAAACACTTGAAACTTATTTATTATTATTATTATTATTCCCTCCGTCTCATATTAGTAGTCCATTTTTTTTTTTTTTACATGTCCCAAATTAGTTGTCCTCTTTGAAAAGTCAAAACAAATAAATTCTATATTTCCATTATTGTCCTTTTATCTTGTTAAAAAAACTTCAAACTTTGTAATTATATATATTTAAATTAGAAGAGATAAATTGATAATTTTAAAAGGGAACAATGCATCCCCTTAAAAATTCCCATTTAAAAAAATGGACCTCTAATGTGAGAGGGAGTAAAATATTGTCCAATTTTTTTTTTGTCAAAATCCTTGTAAAGCCCCCACTATATTTTTGACAAAATCTTAACACACCAAATTCACCAAAGCCAACTCGTCTATCCCCCTCGCTAATCTTCACAATATTGACTTATCTATCTTTGAAGCTATCATTAAACCCATAGCTCTCTTTTTTTTCTCTCTAAAATATATCTCTTTTTTTAAAACAGAGATTTAGAGAATGATGAAGATCTTCCTTTTTTTGTTCTTCTCTCTCCTCTCTTTTTTATAGTTTTGCATAGCTTTAAATGTTTATAGTTTTGTATGAAAAAAATCTATTAAGTTAAAAAAAAAAAAAAGTAATGGTATCAATAAAACTTATAAAAGTCATGAGCTTTTTGTATTTAACCATTGAATTATAACTATTTTTTGAGATCTATTAAAAACCAAATGAATTATTTAACAAATATTTCAATCCATGATTAAATATTTAACCACCGGATTTTTGACTCTTGCTATGAGATCGAGTGCTCTCTTAATAGCATTACTCTAAGTTAAAATTGTTTTATTTACTACTTTAGTTAGGGCTGCATGCAACTCGGGCGTGTAGAAGGTGTACTCGACCTTCAATCTTAACTACTTAATTAACTATGGCCCAACGCATCCTTCTATTTTAAAACTCGTATTTGGAACTCAGGTTTAAATTTCGGGATAGAAAGTGGAGATTATTCAAATTACCCATATGAATCATATGATCAATCTCTACACTAAAATTATAATGCGATAAAGTATAATAAATTTAGATTTAAGCAAAGGAAGTTAAAATAGATAAGCTGATCATAATTTGAATATCATATAGAAAATTAGAAAAAATAAATTTAATATATATATATAACTAAAATTTGGGTTGTTAGCACCTCAACCCAAGCCTAATGGATCGGATTCGGGTCAGATCAATTAAATTCATATCCGATTTGTTAAACTAACGAATTATTTGATTAAATATTCCAATCCATATCATATTTAAATCGGATTAGGATTGGATCGAATTCAAATTAGGATTAAAATCACATTACTCACAATGAGATGATTCAAGCTAGTATGATTTTTTTCCCCTTTCTTCTCAAGGTGACCCCCTTTGTTTGTTTGTTTGTTTTCTAATAATATTACACTATTTTGACAATCAGATAGGCGCTATGACAATCAACATAGAAACATTTCCAATCCATGTATTTTCAAAAACGCCTAGTTTATCCGACAATAAATGAAATGAAAAAAATTAAAAATTTAAAATTAAAAAAAAAATGGGTATGAGAGATCTACAGAGGTTGATCAGAAAATTGAGAGCAAGACAGAAAGAAGAAGAATTTTACAGCGGCTGTCGTGCCGTAACTTCCCGTAGCTCCTTGAGAGGCTCTGCTTCCCTTGGGAACACACTGCTCTCCAGTATATACTGTCACAAATTATTACAAGATCAAATCAATATCAACTAACTAATTAAGGCCTCAAAAAGTGTAAAATCAAATAAAATATGTAACATAATTAAGATACATTGTTCTATTTATTTGAAAAAGCCTAAGTTATACTTGCTTCAAGGTGCATATGATATCAATATACATGTAATGATGTAAATCAAGAAAATTATATATATATATAAACAGTAAAAAATGTACAGGAAGTGATCAAGAGATAGAGGGAGAGAGAGTGCCTTGTATAACTCATCAGACTGTAACAGCCCCATTTTAGCTCTTTTATCTGTCTGCCCAATGTGTTCCATTGCTTTAGAGAGCAACCACTTTAAGCAACCGCTTGATTTAGTTCAGTTCATTCAAGAAGAAACAGAGAGGACTGCAGATATTGCCTGCCAATTCCATGAATCTAATGCTTATAATAGTATATAATAATACTATGAATCTAAAGCTTATTATAGTATAATAATATTGTGAACCTAAAGCTTATGAAGTTGACTGATGGGACAATAGTTGGATTGGTCGACAGGCCGGCTCTGTGTAAGTAGCATTTTTGAAGGTTTCAACCAATTATTCAAATTAGTTGATTCAGAAGTAGGTGGAGATTTATTTTGCATTTTGATCCAAGTGGCCGGCACTTTTGACATTGCATCAGGCAATCAATTGATGCGACTGCAAATCATGGTCCACCACCCCAACAATGCAAGAGAGATTTCAACAGTTTGTTGATAATAGATTGATTGAACTCAGGTTATGTTTGGCCATACGAAATTAGAATTGAAAAAATTTTTGACTCCAATTTTATGTCTGCAAAACAAAGTACATATTATTATGCAGCATTTAGATCTATATTTATGTGAAGCAGTGTGTTCCATTCCTCTATGATGTCCAATAATTATGACAGGCGCGTAAAAGAGCCAACATATGCAGCTATTTCAAAGCAACTTACCAATAATACGTTTGATTTTGCAATTTCAAACATGATTTAGAAGACACATTATTTAATCATACTATCATTATTATTGACTCCAGGGTTTCAACCAAGGGTATTTAGGTAATTTTAATAAAAACAAATCATTAAAGTATAAATTTAAATTTTATTTGAGTTTGTGTTAATCAGGTTTTAATCTTCATTTTTATTTTATTTTTTTCTTGTTGAAAAGTTGGCTTTGTTTGGATACATGAGAGAGAAAAGAAATTAAATGATAGTATAGCAATAATCTCTATTTATGTTTGGATCGATAGAAGAGAAAAGAAAAGAAATAATAATATTCATGTTTGGATTTGATAGAGGGAAAAAAAGAAAAAAAAAATAACAACAACTAAATTACTATCATATTTTTTTAAATAGAAGTGATATGAATAATTTTCTGTTTTTAATTATTTGGGGCACTTTTGAAATTATGAAAATACTATTTAAGCACTATCATTTCTCTCCTTATCTTCTCATTTTTTAGGAATAAGTAGCTATCCCTCTCTATCTCTTCCTATTACTCCCAAACACACTTAAGTCATATCATTTCTCTTCTTTTCTTTCCCTATCCCTCCAAACATCCCATCCAAACGCACTCTTAAAGCAAATTATATATATATATATATGAACAAGGTTTACAGAAGATTCAGCTCAAGCTGAACTGAATATGGCAGCCCGGACTAGCTGTTACAACAAAACATAGATACAAAACATAGGCCCAATCCATTCAGACGGACCCTAACTAAGTGGGATACATATGACTAAAGCCATAAACCTTGACATAAACTCAAACAATATTAAGGGCAAATAGTAAAGTTCAAATGGACCATGGCTCATGGTGATGGAATTCATAAAGCTCAAAATCATTCACTGAAGGCAAAATTCAAGACCGCAGATAGCACAAGCTTTTAATTTCTTATCATGCACTTTAATTGACCTGTTATTTGATTTTTTCTATTTTTTTTTATCAGGTTCAAAGTTTTCATTATAGGCTTCGTTCAGCTGCATGGATGTAGAATTTTAAAACTCGAATAGGTGGAAATGGGAAAAATAAATAAATAAATAAATAGTTTAATTTTGTGAATTGTTTTTCTTGAATTTCACAAATTCCAATTCTCATGCTCCAAACATACCCTACAAACACAAAGACGGCACTTTCCTTCTAATTCATCCTCCTCGACCCATCCCTTTTTTTCCTGAAACGGCAAGAAAGGAGGAGGAATGAAAGAGGAATATGCAGGTGTAGAAGAAGCTCAGCCCCATCTGGTGAAGGTAAGTGAGCAGAGGTAACACAATTCCGCTGAAGGAAGTTTTATTGGTGTTTGTCAGCGGCTTCGTGCCGCACTGGAGTTTTTCCTTCAGGATATTAAATTAAATTAAACACAAACTTAAAAGACACAAAATACAAAGTTATAAATAACCATGGTAGATACACAAGAAGTAGTCTAAGAGTCCAAAAGCCAATTTTCAAAACAACTGGACTTTCGGCTAGGCTACGTAGTCACCAACGTGGTGTGGTGTTGACAATGGCTGCCACTTCTGAGATTGGCATCAAGATATGCGCCTGCAAATCATGACACCATCACCCAAAGGAGCAAGAGAGACTTCAACGCGAGGGTCTGCAGTTATGGATTGATTGAACTCTATCGTACTCAACCTTAACTTTCTCTTGGCCGCCGGTACAGACTCTTCAGCCCAAGCAACCATTCCACCCCACAGCGTATTGTCGTAGATGATTATTGCACCAATCTTGCAGAGTTTCATCAGCCTCTCATGGTAATTCCAGTAATTGTCCTTATCGGCATCCACAAATGCAAAGTCAAAGCTCCCTTCGTTCTCTTGCTACAAAAAATTAATTAAACAGTAAGAATTTGAATCCTCACAAGTACATTGTTCTGCATAGGAAAGGATAGAGATCATTTCCGCGGTAAAGTAGGGTCCTCTCCGTTTGTGACGACCACACCTCATGTTGGTAATCTGCACCTTTTCCCTATGCACAACTTCCTAATAGGATCCTAATTCAATTTGTGGGGACCACACCTTTCCCCTATCACAATGAAGTGGGGTCCTCTCCATCTATGGGGGACCACATCTCATGTGTGTAATCTCTACCTTTTTCCCCATGCATAACTTGGTGATAGGATCCTAATTCCATAGTATAACGTCTACCATCAAAGCGAAGCTTAGAAGATTTAATACTTACATTTTCTAAGAGTTTATCAAGATATGGTAGAGCTTTAGACTCGATGAAGTTGATTTTGTGCTCAACACCAGCCTCTTGAATAGTCGGCAACCCTATCTCATATGATTTTCGGTTCACGTCTATAGCTATAATCTGCAAAAAAATGTATGTCGAACCGATGAATGATACATAAGACAAACACACACACACACACATATATATATGTGAATGTACGTATTAGTTAACAGACTAGAGATGGATGTTTGGCAGTGAGAACCTTGCCATCATCAGGAATGTTCAGAGCAGTAGTGAGAAGTGAGTATCCAGTAAAAACACCAATTTCAATGGTCTTTTTGGCATTCACCAACTTCAAAAGCATGGCCATTAACTGAGCTGCATCTGGTGAAGTACCAAAGAAGGCCCTGAACAATATTTAAACAAAGGTAAAGTTATTAAACCAGATGCAAAAATTTGCATACATATACATATATAAAGTCCAGTCTTCACAACTCATGTATATATGATGCCAAATGACCGGGATTGTGGTTTCTGCATCTTTTTTCAATCATCGTTTGAACCTTAATTTATTATAAAGCACATATTATTTTCATCTTATGTGAAATGCGGCATTTATATATATATTTGTGTGTGTGTATTGTAAGATTTGTTAAGCAATAACCAGATGCAAAAACTTGAACCTCAATATATTAGAAAGCACATATTATTCATATCATGTGAAATGCAGCAGTTAGATTTATACTTGTGTGCGTAAAACTTGTTAAGCAATATGCAGTTTTTCATAATTGCAAAGAATGACCTCCGATTTTTCTTTTCTCCCAAATTTTCTCAATAATTCAAAATATATATATAAATTGGGATCATTTTATTCTCTTTGGAGTTCCAAATAACCACCACTAAACGATATTTGTTAAATATCAGACAGAATATTAAGGGAAATACATGACTATGTTGGTGAAGCAATTGAGTAAATTGAAGTTAGAAAGAAGAATAATTACAAAGGGTGGCTTGCACTAGCATCCCTCAGGTCCTTGAGAGGCTTCGGCTCTCGCGGGTACACACTGGTCTCCAATATATACTGCTATGCCATAAGTGGAAGATTAGATTAAAAAAATTAATAATGATAGGAAAATAAATATTCAACAAGCATGAAGAAAATGTATATCTAGATAATGGACACAGAACAGTACCTCATATAAGTCCTCGCTTTGCAACAATATGGGGTTAGGCTTAATTGCTTCCTTTGGAGTGTGTTCCATTACTCTCTGATGTACAAGAATTCCGACAGGCGTAAAAAGGAGCTATTATATGCAGCTATTTCAAAACAACTTACAGGAAATCATTTTCGAATTTGCAAATTCAAACATGCTTTAGAAGGCACATCTAATAATAGTATCAATATATATCAACATAAATTCTTGGATTTTATTTAATTTAGTTCGCTATGATTGATTTTGATGTGGAGGTGATCTCCATGACAAATCTGTATCACTATTTTCTTTCCTGAATTGAAATGTTTCTCCAACAAAGAAGCTCGTAGTTAACAATACAAACGCAAATAGTCAAAGCCAAGGACAAGACAACTACAAATGTATATGCATATATGTTTGTGATCTGTGTGTATGTATACGTATATATCATGGGAAAAAGAAAATGGTATAAGATTTACCTTTGGTGTTCTGGAGTTGAAGAACTGGATCAAAACTATACTGGTTTTGCTTTAAGCTGCTGGCAAAAAGCCCTGGATGAACACCACTCGAGTTATTTTTTCAACCACAACTAGTATAGCTTCCATTATATTACCCAATTATTTCATGATAGTAAATTCATATTTTAATATCATCTATCATTCAACAAATACTTTATCATCTATCATTCAACTGATATCTTTGTTGATGGTCAAAACCAATTGGTGTATAATCAACAATTTCCTTTCTTCATATGAAGACTCACTAGTGTAATCTCATCCATATTTCAATGGTCTAATTCTTCAATAACGATATATAAATCTGTTTCCTTCTCTTTGAAACACAAGCTATTGTAACTTTAATATTTAAATCATTCAACAAATCTTGTACTAACACATAGTTTGCTTTATTGCATCCGGACTCCCCACTAGTACATTACATTCAACTCCGTAAGTGAAACCTAAGGCTCGTTTGGCAACTGTTTATGTTTTGTGTTTTTAGTTTTATATGATAAAGTATTTCCTTTTTTTTCATTTTTAGATTTGAGCTCTTTTTTTTTTTTAATGCAAATGTGGTAGTGTAAAAAAAATAAACAAACACTATCAAACATTATTTTAGCCATTTATTTATATCCTTTACTGATTTGACAAAAAAAAAAAAAAAAGAAAAATAAATGAAACAAAAATAGTTTGAGCCCTAATTTAGCAATATTCATGGTTTGGAGTGGCAAAACTTAAAGTATGTTATAGATTTTTAGTGAAGAGGTCTTTCTGACTTCTAAATTCGGGATGGTCCCCCAAACACTACCCAAACAGAAAGTGACGACGTTCTATTCACTTTTGGTAATTACGTGAAAGCGATGACGTTTCTGGTGGGATATAAATTATAATAGTTGGCTGTGTATAATTTCATAATTGACCCTATGAGGCGGGGTATACCGTGGACCCGTGAGATACATCCTCTTTCTTTCTCTCTCTATACATATTATACATATATATAATATATAGCATATGACAACATTAAAATTGTGCAAAAATTTAAAACTACGATTTTTTTCTTTCTTTCTTTTTTGATGTTAGAGCTTCTATAATTAAGTTTATATTTTCATTAAATATAATTAAGTTAATTTCAATATCAGAACTATGAATCTAAATCATTCAATGAATATATATATATATATATATATGAATGTAAATCTAAAAATTGAATATATATAGTGATCGATTATACTGAAAGGTAAAAGTAGTGATTGAGAGCAGCCTACCTTGGCATGTGGAACACTTCAAATCTGCCACAATTTCTCTCTCTAACCACAAATCATCTCTTAAACCCCCTCTCTCTCTATATCTATCTATCTCGACGAATTCTGAGTTTCTTCTAATCGGGAAATAGGAAATACGCAATCTGATTGTCCAATGGCACTCGGATTAAGTGGAGAGCATCGATATAAAGAGAGTGTTTCAATATAAATGGGTTGAACTTTGAAGAGGCCGAGCCAATTCTAAGAACATTGTGGGCTTGATCTCGGGCATACGGGTCACGGGTGGGCTGGTCCTTTAAACAAATTTGGGCTCAATTCATTGCCTACTTTCCACCACATTCTAGGTTCAAATTCTGTTTAAGATTAAAAAATAATAATAAGATAAAAAAATAAAAATTGAGTGTAACAGTTTCTTGCATGGTAATTAAAACATTTAAAAAATAAAAATAAAAAATTCAACAATGGAATTTAATTGGTGTGTGTCCATATATATACAATATTTGATATTAAATCTATTTGAATCACTTACCGTCATCTCCTGCTATAATGATACCATATTACACTTGAGAAAATTAGAGATAGTAGACTATTTAGAGACGTCAAGTAAGTAGAGAATATTAGTTGTAGGTAAAAGAAAAAGGACGAATAAAAGTAAAATGGAATGAAATTATTAAAAATAATTTTAAAAAGATATACACGACATTAAAATTAATATATAATAAATAGAGTGGAGAAATAATTCATGTAACCGAACCATATGAATGATTAAGAAACACTTGTTTAACATGGGACGAGGTTATATAATAGCATTATTGGTCTAATAAGCACTTGTCTCAATCCTATAAGAATTAATATGATTTATAGTTAACTTAATGTTATGAACATCATGGGAATGAAAATTGTACTAACAAGGCCGGCCAACCATCATTCTTCAACTAACTGAGGTTCTTTTTTCAGAAGTCCTATGAAAACTTATATATGTTGAGAAATATAATATACCCAAAAGAATTCTAATAAATTAGGTGTGGGTTGATCAGTCTTTATGTAATCTTCATCAAGCCAATTCAATATATAATTTCTTTATATTTAACAATGTTAGTACATATTATTAAAAAAATATTGTCCGATTATAAAAATTACAAACATGCACGGACTCATAATAGAACTAGTGGGAGCGAATGCGTGGATTTTTTAGAATGATTAACGAGTGAATTGTTTGGTTTGACTCTATAATGTGGAATCCTAAATCAATTTTTGCTTTCAAAATCTCTATTTTCCTCATTCTTGAAAATTCACATCTCCGTTTCTCTAGGCCATCATCAAGCAGATTTTTTATGTTTTTTTCTTTTCAAAATAAACTTTTTTTTTTCCTTTCTAAAACCAATGTTTTCTTCATTTTATAAAAATCATTTTTTCATTTCCCTAAACCGTTGTAAATGCCGAAATTGCCACATTGGCTCTAAAATTCTTAATTTCTTCATTTTTTTTTATAAATCTATTTTTCATATCGAAACTTTCTTAGCCTAAAATAAAATTAAAATTGATGAAATTTCCACTAAAATCATTTTAAACCAATTTTCAAAGTCAACAACTACCTATTCTTAATGTAGTCCTTTTTTTTTTATCTAATATAAATCTCAATTTTAAATAAAAATAAAATTTAAAACTTATCCTGCTCTAATATCATATTAAGTACCATCCGGGCCATCCAGTCTCTAAAACCTCCTCTTACTCACATGCATTATTGAATTTTAACATTATAAGGTGCATAAGATGTGTGTCCAAAGTCACAGGTCACATGTTCTTTCAATGCCCCTCTTTCCAATTCATAGATACTACTATATATATATATATATATATATTCGGAATTCCAATTCATATATTGATGTTGCGTCTCGAGGGAAAAGCATGTTCGTGCATAATGTTAAGCAGGTCCTCCAAAAGTTGTCTTGGTTGCAAAGAGAGTGGGCCTTTCTATGAGTGCTTGGGATATGTCATGTGATGTGGTCTTCAAGTGGGGGTGTTCCATTTATTGGTAAAAGGATGGCACGCTTCCCACTAAAAGCTACCTGACAATTAAAATAAATATTGGGACTAGGTATTCGGTGCACATCAGAACCGTCCATTCATTACACTCGGGGACGCGTGAAAACAAACGACTTTTTTAATGAATTTGTGCACAGTGCATTAAACACCCGAATATATATATTCTCTAATATTAGGTGAAAACTTTATTTATAATAATTTATTTAGTCAAATTAAGAAGGAGGAAGAGAAAAACGTCCATGTCTATATATATTTGGAGGACTGCTAAATGTAAATTAATGCTACTCCATGCACTATGAGGTTGAGAGTAAAATAAAACTAGGGGCAATTTAAATGCTTTAAATAAAACTAGGGGCAATTTCAGTACTTCACTAAAATTCTGTCAATGACTTGATGGGTGCTTAATAAATTAGAAGGAATATTTTTTGACAATTAATTAGGTGTCTGGTGCTACGTATTATATATATATATATATATATATGGCAAAGTACAAAAATAAATAAATAAATAAAAATCTCTTGACTTGTAGTCAAAAAAAATAAAAAATTCTCGGCTTGTAGTCATTCTCAGTAAATTTTTTTTATCTATTTTTTTACTAAAGAATTCCACTTGACTTGTATCATTTTTTCAATAAATTCTCTTGTCTAATTTTTTTATCAAATAACCCCCCTCAACTATGTGAGGAAGGTAAAAGAGTTAATATTTGGACCAAAATAACTTTTTATTTAAATCTTAATTCTCCTGTACTTTAAAAATTCATATCTCACAAACCATAAATTTAAAAATTGTAAATAATATACGGAAAGTTTATGAAATAAGAATTCCATAAATATAAGGTTTGTGCAACAAAACTTCATAACTAGAGAGAAATAGGCGATCTAAAAATCTACTCTAACAATTTTATTTTATTTTTACTCAATATATTTACAAGAAAATTTTAAGAATTATTCATTTATATATGGAGCAGAATATATAAAAAATTTAGTCTCAACAAAGATCGATTTCATGATATATCATATTTTGCGTCAAAATATTTTCATTCTTTTATAACCTCACCATTTAAAAAAAAAAAAATCAAAATGAATATTCGGTCTCTATTGGGGCAAATTTTTTTATATGTTATGCTCTATATGAAAATGAATAATTCTAAAAATTTTCTTGCAAATAACCCAAATATTTTTTAAAAATAAAATAAAATAAGATTGTTGCTGTACATTTTTAGATTGTCTATTTCTATCTGATTATTAAGTTTTGTTAAACAAATCTTATATTTCTGTACTCTTTGTTTTATAAGTTTTCCATACATATATTATTTGCAATATCTGGATGTACGATTTGTGAGATATAAATTTTTGAAGTTCGAAAAAATTAAAATTTAAAAAAAATTGTATTTTGATCCAAATATTAACTATTTTACCCCCTCAGAGAGTTGAGGGGGTTCTTTGATAGAAAATTAGACAAGGGGATTTAATGGAAAATGCTACAAGTTGAGGAGAGTTCTTTGATAAAAAATTAGACAAGAGAATTTAATGGAAAAAGTTACAAGTCGATAGGGGATCTTTGGTAAAAAAATTAGACGAAGAGTTTACTGGTAAAGATTACTGGGAGGTTTTCTGTATATTTTAAAACATAACTTTTCAACTTATCTGTCCCGTATTGTGTCTCTATCCATGCTACCTTGATATTAACGACCATATTGCACAATTAGTAATACAAGCACTTCAAACAATATTGTTTACAATTAAAGTATATTTAAAATATTTAGTAAAGTATATTTACAGATAAGTTAAAAAGTTATGTTTTAAAAAATACGACATAAGTACAGTTTGGATACAGTCATTTCTAGTTTTTGATTCTAAGGGTTGTTCTTACATGATTTAGAAAAAACTTATACTATTATTGTAATGATTTTTATATCCTATATTTTCATTCCACTACTTTGTTATTACAATGTCTTTATTTTAAATGAACAAGTACAATTTTATATTTCACTAGAGCCAATTTTCTTTTTTTTTTACAAAAAAAAAAAGTTGAACATTTTACAATGTGTTTATTATATTTTTTTTCAAGATTACCAAACATAACCACTCTACTTTTAGTATATAAGACTTTTTAGTGTTAGAAATGTCAAAAAGTGTCTAGTATTCAAAATAATAAAATTAAAATTTTAATTATGAACACGTATATTGAGTGTCGTGTTCGAGGAGTGCCTGGTATTCAAAATAATAAAATTAAATTTTTAATTATGAACACGTATATAAAGTGTCGTGTTCGAGGAATGTTGTAAAGTGTCACGTGAATACAAAACTAATAAGACTTCTTAGTAAAAGTTTCAATATTTTTTACGTCATTATATATTTGATAATAGCATAACTTTATATAAGGAAAGGATGAAATTGTCTTTATAAAATATAAAAAAAGATAACATTGTTTAATAAAAAAACAATTGCATAAAATATGAAACTTCTATTCAAAAATATGAAACTTCTATTCAAAGGACAGTATTACAAGTTAGAAATCTTTGCTTTATCCAAAAGTTTAAAGTTCTATGGTGCTAAAATGGTAATCATTAAAATTGTTTTTAATCATTACCAAATATATCTAATTATAATTTCAAAAAATAAAAGTATAGTGAAAAAACTATCCCAAGCAAGCTCTAAATGGAGGTGTGGCGGTGATGAGTGGTAAAGAGCCAGCCTTTAGAGCCCCCGCCCTATGGATCACATGTTCGAGTAACTATCACTAACTACTAATCATTTGAAGGAATAAAAAAATATATATATTAAAAAAAAGCTCTAAATGGAAAGAAAGTATTGCTTACTATATTGTCTATTGCAAGTAAAATTTTAGGATTAATTTCACTGACACTCCTCTTAGATATTATTAAATATCGCATTAAAACACATTTGAAAATTATTATTACTCATTGTGGATGGAAAAATCCCCACGTAGCTACAATAGAAATTTTATTTTTAATCTCTTGATGGTTACAAAAGTCTAGCCTGTTCAAGCCCAGATAAAGTCGCCGGCAACCCAAGAGCATCACGTCACAAACACTTAGTTTTTAACGGATGAGCCAAATGGGCATGCAGTAGTTTTTAACGGATGAGCCAAATGGGCATGCAGTATTTCAAACAACATAAAAATCAAAATTGCACAAAATATAATTTCATACTAATTAAATAAATAAATAAACTGAGGAGATCCAGAGCACCACGTCACAAACACTTAGTTTTTAACGGAGATGAAAGGGAAGGTGGGTGTGCAGAAGGTGGGAGATGGAAGAAGATGGAGTGAATTTTAGAGAGATAAATAAACGGGGGCAGTTTTGTCTTTTAAGTTAGTTGATATTTTAGATAAAAATAAATTAAAAAAATTAGGGACACAATTGTCTTTTTGCACATTTTTAACGGTGTCGAAAAAATAAAATTGAACTTGAGGGTCCGATTAGTTAGATGCAAATAGTAAGAAAGGAAAAGAAATGAAAAATTGAAAGAAAAGTGAGGTGAATAAAAGTAAAATTGATTTTCTAGTATATATTTGGTTAGAATGAAAATTTCTTTAAGAAAATATCATATTATAGTTTAGTTACCTAAATTATCCTAATTTTGTAAAATAATAAAATAAAAAAAAATTAGTAATATAATATATTAAAAAATGATAAAGTTTTTATTAATTTAAACCTTCTGAATTACAATTATTCATATATGATGAAAAATAACTAAGAATAGAAGTCAAGTTAATTACTAACGGGCCAGTGGCATAGCGGTACCAGGCTCCTATTTCCCAACGGGAAGTTAGGGTTCGAGCCTCGATGGAAGCAAGTGTGTGTGAGTACCAACTAGGGAAAAAAAAAAAAAAAAAAAAAAAAAAAAAAGTCAAGTTAATTAAAAATTTATCAATAATAAAGTTGTTAATGGATTCCAATTCTTTGAAACCTAGTAAAAAATTGTTGTTGAATAAAATAATATCAATGAAGTTGTTGTTAGTGGACTCCAATTCTTTAAAACCTAGTAAAAAATTGTTATTAAATAAAATAATATCAATGTAGTTATTGGATAAAATAGGAACACTAAATAAAAAGACATGAAAATAAAGGGTTACAAGAACCCTAATTTTCTAGAGTTTTTCCTTTTCTATCTAAAAAAAAAATTCTATTTCTTTTCTTTTTTCGTTGATTATAGTAATAATAATTTTGGGAAGATGTTTCAATATGATATTTGGCTAAACGGCTAGCTTGTCAATGAAAGTAACCCAAAATTGAATTACCAAAAATCAAAGCCCTAGGATAAAAAAATTTGAAGCCAGAGAGCAAAATGCCCAATCTAACAAGAGATGCCAATTCTCAAATCCCAGGATAAAACACAACCAACTCCGTTGAACTTTAATGATAAACTTGAAATTTTTACATAAGCTGCAAATTCCAATAATGTAAATCAACAAGCCTTACATTATTCAAGCCCAGTGCATACAACTATGATCACTCAATGGACATTATTCAATTCAGGCAAAAGGCAAACATGAATGGATGATCAACAGATGCGCCTGCAAATGGTGAGACCATCACTCAATGGAACAACACCTATTTCCACTCGAGGGTCTGCAGCCAAGGCTTCATTGAATTGGATTGTCTTCAGCCTCACCGCTCTCTTGGACGGCGGAGCGGCCTCCTCAGGCATAGCAACTGTTCCACCCCACAGTGTGTTGTCATAGATAATCATCCCACCAACCTTACACAGCTTTATGATCCTCTCATGATAATTCACATAGTTAGCATTGTCCGCGTCGACATATGCAAAATCAAAACTCCCTTCATTCTCTGGCTGCAATACACAACCAGATTAGTTAGGTATAGAACACAAAAGACTGTAGCCTAGTGATACTTTCTCACCTTTCAAAGTAAAAGGTCGAGGGTATATGAAAAGTGAAGCTCGGTTTTAATATAAGATGGTTAAAGCTCACATTTTCTAAGAGTTTATCAAGATATGGGAGAGCTTGGGACTCAATGTAGTTGATTTTGTGCTCAACACCAGCCTCTTTGATCATCGGCAGCCCTATTTCGTATGTTTTTCGATTTACGTCTATGGCTGTAATCTGCAAAAATGTATGTTAAACAGGGCATGATTCATAAGACTTGTATTTATATATATATACATGTATTTACTCACCTTTCCATCATCAGGAATGTTAAGAGCAGTAGTGAGAAGTGAGTAACCAGTGAAAACACCAATTTCAAGTGTCTTTTTTGCATTCATCAATTTCAAAAGCATCGCCATTAGCTGAATCGCATCGGCTGAAGTACGAAAGAAGGCCCTGAACAATATGCAAACGCAATTAAGTTATGCAATTTTCTCTATTATTATTTGAACATTAATATAAATTATCACAACCTACACATTATTTGTTTAGTAATACACAATTTAGGAATTGCAAAATTTGACCTCCACTTTCTTCTTCTTTTTTCTCCCGAACTCAATTATATGAAATATGAAGTGCAGATAATTTAATATTGCCAAGAATCGAAAGAGAACAATTTACAATGGGTGGGTTTCAGTAGCATCCCTCAGCTCCTTGAGAAGCTTTGGCTCGCGTGGGTACACACTGGTCTCCAATATATACTGCACATAATATCGGAAAATTAGATCAAATACAATTTAGGAACCTAAAATATTCAAATAACATGCATATATATAAGTTCAAAGGAAACATTCAAGATATATATATATATATATATGATGGATGGTACCTTTTCTAAGTCCTCACTCTGCAACAACAAGGCATTAGGAATAAGCATTTCCTTGGGATATTCTTCCATAGCTCTCGGGTACACAAAAAATCTGACAGTAGCAATTCCAGAAGTACTTTAGACAACGAAAACAACAACCAAACATTTTCGTAATTATTTGATTTCAATATAAATTCATTATTGGAAATAGTATGTGACAAGTGTGTGAGTGTGTGTAATATGGCACAAGAAAACAGTGTAAGATCGATGTACCTAGCTTGATCTGGTGTTGTGGATTATAGCAGTGGAGGAGCACCACTCACCTGAGTTGTTTCTTCAGAGTTGAAACCCAACTGGTAATATGTATAGACACTTGAACACTTTGCCCTGTTTAAAGTTCAATGAAGAATTGCTGATAAATTTTTTTAAATCCCATCTACCATTCAGCTCCAGTTTTCTATGTGTTACTTGGTTTAGTTCTTGATTTATATATATCTATAGTTGTCAATCAGAGGCAGGCAATGCTCTTGTCTGTTTTTGGTTGGAAGTTATTGACATTCAACACCATTGGATGCCCTTGAAGAGATGGAAAAAAGGAAATTACTAATCACAACATTAACATCAAGGACCCACCAAAATGATAAATCTTAACCTGAAATTACGAGTATAATAATCTCAATTTAATTCCCATGATGGAAATTTTGTGTAATAATACAGTTTTGTGTTATATGAATATCAGAAAGCAATATATATATATATATATATATATATATATATATATATATGTGTATATATATATATATATATTTCTCTCCATGAATTCTACAATGCTAGCTACATGTGAATCTAGTGTTGTAGAATATTGGATGTGAATGTGAATGTTTTGCAGCAAAATAGGACTTGCAAAGTTACAACTACACTAATCCAAGCACAGTGGTTAAGGGATTTCAAGAAGCTAGTCCTAGATTTGAATGTCCTGACTCCTGAGTGACTTAACAAGACACAAACAGACTTCATATGTGTGATGTGAGAGTAATTCTATATATCCGAAGTAGTGTGAAAATAAAATATTTTTCACCAAAAATATTTCCTTTTTTTAGATTATATATATATATATATATTCGGTGTTTGATAAAGATTTATTTTGAGGTTGAGGTCGAGTCTATCAGATTAGTCATGTAAAATAACTCACCAAATATTGATGAATAAATTATTTTTATTAAATTTTATTATTTTTTATTTTACCACAACCAAACAAAAATAAATAAAAAAATATTTTACATCCAAACAATACTTAATACCAAATTTGCTGATGGTTGGGCAAGCAATTCTTGCCATCATCAAAATTTCAAGAACTGTGAAAAGAATGGAGATTCCAGTAAATATACTTCATTGGTCTTTTAGCACTCAACAGCTTCAAATAGTTTATAAATCAAAGCACTAATAAGTACTAATAAAAAACTGCACCCAACAAAAAGTTAAGGAAGAAGATGCTGAACACAACCATTCCATTATGTATGTCAGCAGTACAAATAGACCATAAAATAATGATGAGGGAAAGACAAGTGTAACATGGGCCAATAATGCATCATTTATTTATTTATTTTTTTTCTTACCTTTCAAAAAAACTATATATATAAAAATACATTATTTTTTATTATTTTTTTCCATGTTGACGTTCAGGTCTCTCTCACTCAAAAATTTCATGTAAAAATATGTTGGGTTAATTTTATTTACCTTTCTTAAAGTTTGTAAATATTTATATAAATTTTTTTTGCATTTTATAATTCCACTTGACATAATTTCTCGATGTCAGTAGAAAAAAAAAATTGATTTAAAGTCAATTTTGTTCTTCTAATGCTTGAAATAATAGCAAATATTTCATGAACAAAACGATAAAATAACATAATCAAGTTAGACGGTGGTCCCTGACAAAGTAGGTAAATTAAATGGAATTATAAAATGTAAAGAGGTTAATATGAGATATTGACAAACTTCGAGAAAAATAGAATTAACCCAAATACAGTGTGGGTTGAACAGCAGATGAAAAATGGAGAGGTGATTATAATTAATGGCACGAGCAATTTAATTATTCTTTCATTAATTAAGTTGATTAGTATATCGCAGACCATCCAAAAAAGAACCTGTTCTTTTTTCTTTTTTTATTATTATTTGTGGGAGCAGGTTTGAATACACTGCACCGTTCGGACTGGTAGAAATACTTGTGTATGAGATTCCTGAATTGTCAGTTATTTCCAAATCTAAAACAATATTTAGATGGACAAATAGTAACAATAAATTTCCAAGTCATGGTATCAAAGTTTTGAATCTTAGACGTTGAATGGAAGATGAAAATGATTAATATTCTACTATTAATATTGTGCGTCCACAACTTTAAGGAGAAAGTTTAATGACTAGACTTTCATTTCATATCTTGATGATTGAGTGTTTGGATTTCGTTAAGACTATTTTCAGGTGTGTTTGGCTGCATAGAATTAGAATGTTAGAATTGATATTTGTGAAATTTGACAAAATTTTGGTTTAATTTTCTTAGTTGTTTTTTCAAATTTTATCAATTTCAATTTCAAGACACCAATTCCAAATAACCGAACACACTCTCAAAAAAAATTTCGATAATCACTTCGTGCATATAGAATAGAAGGATAGATCTAATAAACCCGACACCACCATGTTCCATATGTGTAGAGCAGAACATTCATTTATCAACAGTGTGATTTGAAACAAGCACATGACAGCCATTTAGGCCACAATAATAAAAGCAGACAAGACCAGACCATAGGAACAATTAAACAACACACAATTTGTAAGTCTAACCAACGAGCCAAACTTGAGACACTTCAATTATTTGCATCGTTTAGATTAAGTCAAAGATGTTGATTTGTTTCCTTAATCATTGACATGGTTTTATTTGAGTAGTTAAATGAAGACAAAATTGCGGTTTAAAGAAATAAGCCAATGCACATGGTTTCTTCTAAGTAGGGCCATGTTGGGTATTAAAAAAGACCAATTTGGTACAAGTTTGAGTTTTTTAAAAAAAGAAAATCTGATCAGATGGGGGAAAATATGGACATTGCAGGATAAATTTGATATCCACGTGAAATTTGATAAAATTTTCACAAATTTTGAAGACCTCATATAAATTGATAAAACTACCTCCAAAAGATTCACATGAAGAGGAATTAGATTATCTGAGTTATCTCTTCAGTTATATTGTCTTCTAACAACTTGACAATTGGCTGCCAACTTGTTATCTATATCATCAGATATCCTATAATATAGAAGAGGGAAAAAAAATTCATCTACACTTTTTTTTTAATCCACCAACAGATACATGCAGTCTCCCGACCCACATGTATCAGGATTCGGACAATTGCTAAAAAATTTGTCTGAGAATTAGGATTCGAATTCCCAACCTCCTATCTGAGATGATCATTTATACTGAACAAGCCCCAAAATGTTGGGCTTGCCATAGAAATAAAATTGGGCCTCTTTTGCTTTTTGTAGTATCAGGGGACAAATGTATGGGTCATAACTATGATTGATTGATATGAAAAACAAAATGGAACTAGGAAAAAAAAACAAAACAAAACAAAATGGAAAGCAATGCCATTTCAGTAAACTTGGAAATGATCCTCAAGAGATGACCTAAAAGGTTAAAAAAACAAACTCATTTCAAAAACAAACATGGAAATGATCCACATATCATAATGTTGGACTGATTTACTCTAGTCTGGGGTTTTAGAAAGGAGAGAGGTATTCAGTTGAACAAGTTAAGAGGCAGAAGTGCAGGACCAAAGCCGAGTGAATGGATTGGAAACTCTTGATGTGGCCACTCTACTGATACCTAACCTGACGCTGCAAAATATTTGTTTCAAGAGCATGGGAGTTGGCAAATTGGATTCCATCCTGCATATTCAACAAACGATCAAAATACTAAAGGGCAAACCCAGTGCACGAGGCTCCCGCCCTTCCCTCCCCGCATGCAGAGATACTATCTCTTTGTTTTGAACCCGTGACCTCCAGGACTCCATCCCCAAGAGCATGGGAGTTGGCAAATTGGATTCCATCCTGCATATTCAACAAAAAAATCAAAATATTAGTTAGATTACAAAAACATAATCCCCCTCACAAAGACCTAGTGCATTTGAAGCCATTTTTGCTATAAAGAAAATCTGATCATAGAGGGAAGTACATCCTAAGTACCTTCAGATCAGTACTACAGGAAAAGTGAACTGAACATGTAAACCTTCCAATTACAGCAGTGTCGATCGAGGGTCATCTCCAATATTTACACATTCAAGAGCATGTCTCGTATCATGTAGACAATATTTCCTTCACAATCCACTGCAAGCAAGTTATAAACAAAGAGTACTGCATTCATGTAAACTGGGTATAAAAAGTACAGACTACAGAGCACATATCAGGCTGAATAGAGCCATTTACATAATAGAATTCTTGAGGCCTTAACACAGCAGCTCATTACACAACTTGAATTTCCACTCCCCCAAATAAAAAATTTATTTCATTACAATACTTTATAAAAAGCAATGTAATCACGAATTCAGACTGCACAAAAGGAAAAAATATAAAAATAAAAAATAAAAGAATTATAAATAAATAAATAAAACATGCTCACGAATTTGCAGACTAAACCAAAAAAATAAAAATAAAAATTATACTGTCTTACAAAATTCTATAACCTTCGAGTTTGTCCGTTCACAGATGCAGTGTGTAAGAGAATACCACCATTGCATAGTCATGTGTGACTACCTAATCTTCATTGGCGGTTCAGCCGCATAGCCTGCAATTTGGCAGCTATTGTGTCATAGTCAGGAAGCTTAGGATGAACATGACTAGCTCTTTTTTCAGAGTTATCCCCAGGTAACGTCTCCCTGCCAGGAGTTGATGTCTTTTGACTTCCAGTGCTACCAGATGTCACTGTCTGTTGAAGATGGCTAGATGATTGTTTCATTGCTGATGACGGCAGCTTAGAATGAACACGGCTAGCTCTTTTTTCAGAATTATCCCCAGGTAACGTCTCCTTGCTGGAAGATGTCTTTGGACTTCCAGTGCTACCAGATGTCACTGTCTGTTGAAGATGGCTAGATGATTGTTTTATTGCTGATGCCTTGTCCTCACGTGATGAGGCCTTAGATTCTGTCATTAGCTCAGAGGCTGCTAGTTTCGTAGAGCTTGACTGCTCAGAACGACCCGAGTAACCTGAGATCACTGTCTGTGTCCTGGACTTAGGTGGAACTTCAGTACCATAGGTATTCCTGCGATTCCTTTCATCAGAATTTATCGATGCCTCAGATCCAATTTTAACCTTAGAATAAGAACTTGTTTCAGAATTAGAAGAAAGAGCTTTTGTCCTTCGAGAAAGTCCACTTCCTGAACGGCTTACGCTGGTAGAAGTTTGTTTGGGGAGATCCCCCTCAGAATCACCATTATCAGAATCAAAATATGTAACTTGAGTTCTTAAGCTTGATTTTGTTTTTACTTCCTTTTCTGCTTTCTGATTGTACGGTTCTCGTCGTCGTTGGAATTCCTCCTCAGAACTGTCAGAGTCTGAATCATAATGTTTAATTGAGGCTCTTGAGCCTGCTCTGTTGTTTACTTTTGGCCTCACTCCAGAACCAAAAGAACTACTGACTGAGAAGGAAGCATTTGATTGCTCAATGGTGCTTGATTTTGTTTTTACTTCCTTTTCTGCTTTCTGATTGTACGGTTCTCGTCGTTGTTGGAATTCCTCCTCGGAACTGTCAGAATCTGAATCATAATGTTTAATCGAGGCTCTTGAGCCTGATCTGTTGTTTACTTTTGGCTTCACTCCAGAACCAATAGAACTATTGACTGATAAGGAAGTATTTGATTTCTCAATGGTGCTTGATCTATTATCCTCGGCCACTTCTTTGGATGAAGATGAGACACCACCTGAAGGACTCCTATTATAAGGTGGATGTCTATAACCCTTATTCCGAAGGCCACCTGTCAATATCCCAAAGCTCAACTCCTTTCCACCTTCTGAACTAGATTGGTTTGGAAATTCGTAATCTTTCAATGTATCATGTGATTGCGATGTGTGAACATTGTCCTTAACTTCATGGAATGATGAAAGCCTTGAAGATTGCGAGGCCTGCTGCCGGTTTCCTTCATCGAATGGACTCCGGAAATTTGATTCACTGCTCACATCATTCAAATCCAATCGCGACTTCCGTTGTCTGGGAGACTCCTGACTGGCGGACAACTGTCCCACACTTAAATTTTTCTGAATATCAGCATTTATTTCTGTTCCTGGATTGTTCTTTGCCTGCACGTCCACGGAGTCCAAATAATCAGAAGAGGGATATAACAATGGCTTTCTGTCAGACCTTGAATTTCCTTTATCTGCAAATGAGGATCCTGCTAATCCATGACTCACACTCTGTGTCGGTTCCGAGTTTCTGGAGTAAACATTCTGCTTCCGAGGATTCATACTAGAGTCCAGCATCCCACCATGCCTGCCCTTGTCCAATTCATCTTCACATTCTGAATTAGGACCATCTGAATCATCAAAAATTGCAGGCGACGAGTTATATGGTTTCAAAGGATCTGCAAAAAGGTGTGACCATGAAGTTGACTTTTCCAATGATCCACTCACACTTCTTCTGGGGCTCCAAGGGTCTACATTTGGTGAGAGATGGGTAGGTGATTTTTCATCTGGTGATGGGAAATACAATTTGGACTCCTGTCTGCCATACTTGGGCCCTATATCTAACCTATAATCATCTTCATCTGAACCACCGTCATCAAAAACTACACTAGCATTATCATATGAGCTTGTTTGTGTACTGTATCTATGAATGTTCTCTTGGTCAACGCCCACAGAAGAGGCCTCATCAACATCATTCCTGAAGTTCTGGCAGTTGGAATTTAAAACTGTATTATCACATCCTAAAGTGCTTGAACAGGAATGATAGGAAATGCTGGTGGGTTGTTTTCTAAACCTTTCTTCTCCAAAATAATTTTCCTCAGATTTTAAAGCATCCTGTCGGCCAGTCACAAATTCTACATCAGAGTTACTGGACTGCTTCTTTATACTCATTTCGGAAAAGGAGACACTCTCATTTGCTTTTACAGCCTCGTCTTCAGATGAGCAATCCTGAGAATATTTGTCTACCCTTTTGAAACTGTTCACCAATGTGTCACTGTCAGTTGAAGCTTTGCTCGGCCTCATGGAAGCAGATTGGCTAGATCTCTTTCTACTACCATGACCGTCACGGTGAAATCTCTCAGAAACATTCACCAGGTCATCATATTCATTCCCATAGATTCGCTCATTCTGTAACTTAGAATTTCTATCATTAAAGGAATTATTCACTGAATCTTTAGCATGATATTCACCTGGCAACTTTGAAGCAGCATACTTTCTAGGCCCTTCATCTCTTATACCATGAGCATTCGACTTCTGTGATTCTGTGGAATGTTGCCTGGTAATCCTCTCATGGCTTGACAGTTCCGCAGCAGCTCTAGCGGCCATACTTGCTCGTTCTGCTGACTCGGCAGCTGCCTGTGCTGCAGAGGTTGCATCCTTAAATTCCATATTCCAATTCTGCCTACCCATTGGAAAAGCATTCCCATCCCTGGAAAATGATTGCCTGACTTCCATCCTCTCAGGTCCAGTTCCTGTATGTAAACCAATTATATTAGGAGTAACAGGTGGACAATTAGGAACAAAAGGGGATGAATAGTCGGTGATTCCTGTACCTGAAGGTCTCACTTCAGGGTGAGAAGTAGGCATTGTTTTATTACCATCAATATCAGTGGAAGAATAATTTTGGCTACTTGGTGAAGATCTCGAGATTTGATCAAAGGAGTTTACAGATGAATCATGCTTTTGGTCATGACTGGGTGGAGCGTGGACATTTGGACCTCGAACATTAGGAAACTCTGCATTCATCTTACCAGCCTTCTCGAAAGAATTTGGTCCATTCTGCTCAATAATTGAATCAACTCAGTTGCTTCTTAATTAAATCTCACCTATGTTCTGTCATGACGAAAAACCAATAGCAAGAAATGAACCAGCTGAAATTGATCTGAACTCACCAGCAAATCACCAGGAAGCTTTGAATCTTTCTCTCCAAATGATGTAGGATCCCATTTGATGTTATGTTCCTCTGCAATGGCACTCAAGATCTTGATCTTAGTCTGCCCATCAGGTGCCATAACAGATAACTTCTCAACCAACTGAAACAAGAAATTGTGCATAAAAACATTATGTTGCTGTACTTTTACCAAGTCTACCTGGCAAATTCCTTAATGGGCCAAGGTCACCAATCAAAGAGAAATAAGCAAGCTGTACAAACGTACCATGCGGCTTACTCCACAATCTGGACGCAGCTCAACAGCAGCAGATGTGAACTCTTTTCCATATTTTGCTGTAAAATGCTTGCGGACATCCAGAAGTTCTGGTATGTCTGCACATCTTGGAGATCCAAATATTATGCTTGCAATCGCTTCCTTCAAGTCAATGGGGCAGCTTCTGCAGAAATATCAAACGAATAAATACATCGTGACATTTTCCGGAAGTTTCAAAGAGGTTAAGTATGCCCTGTGAAACCATGATTTTATGAGAAAAAAATGTATATAAATTCTGATGTATCACTACAAAATGAACAAACCATGTAACAGAAGAACATTGATGTTGGATTAGATATGAGATAGCTGAATATTGTCGATCACAGTTTTAGACATATCCAATGACATCTCCACATTGTTAGCAAGTTAACTCGATAGCTCCAACAAGAATAACATTTTTCCTCTTACTGTTTTAAAGTTTTGAAACATTACCATCGTTACCAGGAATAAAATGAATACAAAATTTTTAAGAAAAAAATCAAAAGAAAAATCCAATTGTTACTCCGTGTGAAAATAATTTATTTCCGCAACTATTATATTATCGTCCACCCAAACTGCCCTAACAAACAACTTACAGAAAAAAAAAAAAAAAAAAAATTCTCAACCACTGCTTTTGACAATTTATGTGCTTGAAATATATTTTCTATGTTTCAAATAGAAAATACCTCATTCACAAAACTTAACGTGAAACCTCCAAAATACTTGGACTCGCTGATCTTTCCATACACATTCCATTATGAGGCACTCAATTAAACCTACACATGTATATGTACTCTGAAGTTTGAACTTAAGATACATTTTCCTTTAGCAAATAAAAATAATCCATATATCTCAGGATGCCTTTGGAGTAGAAAAGGTTGAACTTTGTTGCATAATTTACTATAGTATATATTTGAAAATTCAGCTTAGACTGAAAAAAAATATTTCCCAATCATTATCCAGTCCTCCCCACCCCACAAAAGAAAACATATACAGTACACACACCAAAGGTTAACAATCTCCCCGACTTCCGATTTCCATTACTAGTGAATGTAGTGTTCTAAAATAAAAAGTTAAGTGTTAGAATACTACGTAAAATGCATAATTTGGTAATAACTAGTATACTATGTTGGCAACTGGGGCTGTAATGTCAAAAGAAACTGTTTTCTTTCAAGTTGTTATGTTAAAAACACATGAGAGCATAAAATTTCAAGTCACCAAATGCTTCGTGGCATCAAGCTGGATTGAGAAGTTATTAAAATATTTTAGCAGTCATTGAGCTACTATTATAAATAAATACAAATCACAAACAGAATGTCCTTACCCAGCCAGGGGAAAAAATTAAAATTAAAAAAATAATAATAATAAAATAAAATATTGGGCGAGGTTCAAAATCTAGATAAAATTTTATATCAGGCACCATTCAACTCCAACAATCATATTGCTTATTCCCTTTGTTCTTCTGCCTTTGACAATATTCAGAATAATTCCCAATTTCTGCTGAATGGATTGAGAATACATGCTATAGTACAGAGCAGCAAACATAATTTTTTAATCAATAATTTCCGGGAAACAAAGTGTTTTATGAATTTTTTAAAAATCATTTCTATTTATAATGTAATTTGCAATGTTTTAGGAAGAAGCAAAGTACCAGATGATACTTGCTTTGCTACAAAGACGAAAAGATTTACCAGTTAAAATATCAACCGACACTTGAAATTGTAAACTGGAAAATGAGGGGACCATTCAAGATTATATAATTTGCATACTTTTGTGACTCGATGATTGACAAACGTGCTGCAATAAGTTCACAATATATGGCGATAAGATCATATGCTGCCATCATCTTCTCTTCCCTGACTACGTGTTCAACCTGAGATGCAAAATGAAAAAAAATATTAGAATAGGGGAAGAAGAAAAAAAAAAAAGAGGAAAATAACTTTTAGCCTGCCATCCCATAAGATATAAACAAATAAGTATCAATCAATGGCAAAAGTTCAAAAATAATACTAATAATATAAATTAAAAAGATATTGATATTGATTTACCACTAAGATTTAGACAGAGCATACATGCCCAGACATATAGCCGGATCTCATTAAGCAAATGATTCTCTATTTAGCCTCAAACAAGCAAAAGCTGAAGGCAAGGATGACTACAAAAAACATAAGGAAGCGTTTTGAGGGGTCTATTCACAATCAATGCACTTTTTGCACTAAATTCACTTCCAAATAGTATAAATAACAATTTTTTTTTTTTGTTTTGATAAGTAAATAAATAAGTAACTAAATTGATCAAACTTAAGAAGTAAAACAGAAAGGGAAAAAACAAAAAGTAGACGTCGTCAACTTTCAGCGATATTTTTAAAATTCTTCTCGACTTCTGAATGGCTACAAGCATCATGACACACGGTGGGAAGTGGCAAAACAAACCAATGGGAAAATGCAAGAGTATCATGTATGTTCCCCTCATCCAAGATAGAAGGATAAAGAGATTTTGTATTCCCTCCATTGACAATGGAATATCATTACAGTTCCATCATTTCACTACTTATTATCCATTGGCAAACACTTAAGTTAAATCCAACCTCCTAATGCAATTTTCTAATTCTCCATGATCACGCAGCATTACCTCGTATTCCAAGAAAAATGGCTTCTAATTAGCAATAGTGCTGATGGGAACCGTAACTTTTATGTTGCCGTCATACTTTTAAATCAAATATAGATTGCCAACAAAGAGTTCTCTACAGCATATAGCATAAATTTCAAAAAATAAAATAAAAATATCAGCTTTGAGATCTGGAAACTAAAAATAATGCTTACTACTATCCAAAGACTCTATGCAGCACTTAAAAATCCCAAAAGTTAATACAAAACTGTAGGTTGATGTGGATTTTCTAAGTAGTCCATCATCCTAGTTATTCAATTCTCTCAATAGCCGTCACCGCCAAACCAAACACATAAACAATTCCATGTAATAACTTCTCCACGATTAAATTCAATCTCAATCAAGAAAAACCTAATTTTACATGCATCAGCTACTTGTTTTCACAATGATCACATCTCATTTGCAACCAAAGAAAAAAGTCCATAAAAGAAATTAGAAAGTCAACACAAATATTTGAAGAACAAATTGACTAGCACAGATCTATATGTACATATCATACCCGAATTCGAGCATTCTGGTCTTGCCCAGACTCGAGCAATTTAGCCAATTCCCTCTTCAGCTGATTCACTTGTGCTTCCTTCTTGTTCTTTAGTAGCTTTATCCGAGCCGTCGCCAGCTTCAACGATGTCTTGCTGCATCAATCATCCAATTCAAATACATAAATACATACACAACTATATTCCAAAATCACAGGTTTCGTCGACAGAATCAGAAAATTCGATATAATCAACCAATACATATATGCTACTCTGTGTGTGTATATATGTGTGTGTGCATGAGTTCGTGAAACTGACTGAGATTACCATTTGGCGGGTTTAAAGCTCTTGTGAAGCATTGTGTCTTCGAATTCTACCAGAAAAAATCTGCGGCTTTGATTATAAAGAATTGATTTGCAGACCAACCGACCAAGTTGGTGGTTATTGTTGTTGTCACTTTGTGTATTGAATGATTGAATAGGGAGAGAGAGACTTCGATATGAAGTATTGAGATCAATCAGAAGAAGAAGATGAAAGGATTGATTGATATGCTTCGAGGTTGAGACGCGTTTACCCAAGACTCTTCTTCTCCGAATATAAGCATACAAAAAAGGAGGAAGAAAATTGCAAAGCTTTGGGATTAAGAAGAACATGGAAATCGACAAAGTTGACTTTTTACTTTGACCAAATTACCCCTTTGGACTGCTTCTAGATTGAAAGCTTCATGATTAATTGGCAGTCACCTTCCAAAATACGTTAGAATAATTATTAGATCCTCCAATTATACTGTATCCAAGCTCCATGATCTGATTGTTAGCGATTCTCAAGGCAAGTCCTTGAGCTCTTCGTTTTAAGTTATACTCTAAACTTAAATAATGTGTATTGTAAGATTGATACATAGTATCAAAAAAAAAAAATTATATTGTATTCAAATTCCAAAACAAAAATCTCATTGCATAATAATTATTATAATTATGAAAATTTTATCATTATAATAAATATGTATATGTATAAATATAAATATATATATATATATATATAGTAGGATTAAGAGAGATGAAGAAAAGAAGAGAAAGGAAATAAAAAAAAATTCATTTATATGTTTTCTTAATAGTTTTTCAAATCAATACTTATATGCCTATTCATTGGCTCAGAATGAGGTTGCCTCTGTAAGCCTTAATATGAAGCTTCCACTGTAAGCCTTAGTTGTGATCTTCCTCTTCAAGCCAAGGGTGTCATCCTGGATGACTTAAACCATTGTGGATCCCACACAAACATATATATATATATATATATATATATATATAACACTCCCCCTTGGGATTTACAATACTACATTAAGAATATGTCTCGTTAAAACCTTGCTAAAGAAAACCCAGTGGGACAAAACCCCAGCGAAGGAAAAAGAGTACAGTATTCTTGTGTATCTGAAAATAGTATTGCATAGATTAAAATTACCTCATTAAAACCTTGCCAAGAAAATCCTGTGGGACAAAACATGGACGAAGGAAAAAAAGTACAGTATGCCAATACCTCTTCGATCAATTGCTCCACCTTATTGTTGCATTAGTTCATCCCTAAAGATCCTTTAGTTGACGCGTTCCAATGTTGTGCTCTAGCTTCTTGAATGTTGTAGTTGGAAGCGTTTTAGTGAATAGATCTACTAGATTTTCACATTAACGTATCTTCTAAATATCAATATCACCATTTTTATGGAGTTCATGTGCAAAAAACAATTTTGGTGAGATGTGTTTGGTCATGTCACTTTTAATATACCATTCTTTCATCTGTACAATGCAAGCCGCATTATCTTCATATAATACTGTTGGGCTATCTTTTATTGATGAGAGACCACGTGTTGTTCGAATACGTTGGATCATTGATCTCAACCAAATACATTCCCTGCTTGCCTCATGACTTGCGAGTATCTCAGAATGATTTAAAGAAGTGGCAATCATTATTTGTTTCATCGATCACCATGATATAGCAGTGCCGCCACAAGTAAACATATATCCTGTTTGTGAATAAACTTTATGTGGGTCAGAGAGATAGCCGGCATCTGCATATCCAACTAATTGAGAACTTGGTACTTTTGAATAAAATAATCCCATATCAGTTATGTCACGAAGATATCGCAACATGTGTTTGATTCCATTCCAATGTATGCGGGTTGGTGCAGAACTGAACCTTGCTAATAAATTGACTGGAAAAATTATGTCAGGTCTTGTGTAATTTGCAAGATATAAAAGAGCACCAATCGCACTAAGATAAGGCACTTCAGGACCAAGGAGTTCTTCATCATCCTCTCGAGAACGAAAATGATCTTTCTTGATGTCAAGTGATCGGACAATCATTGGAGAGCTCAATGGATAGGCTTTATCCATATAAAAACGTTTCAGGGTCTTTGCTGTATATATTGATTGATGGATGAGAATATCGCTCGAAAAATGTTCAACCTGTAGCCCAAGGCAGAATTTTGTCTTTCCGAGATCTTTCATTTCGAATTCTTTCTTTAAGTAAGTGGCCGTCTTTTCGATCTTGTCTAAAGTTCCCACAAGATTCAGATCTTCAACATATACTACAACAATAACAAAACCATATTCTGATTTGTTAAATAAAAATGCATGGACAAATATGATTGTTCGAGTAAGTAATCGCTAAGGCGATTGTACCACATTCGTCCAAATTGCTTCAATCGATATAAAGATCGTTGTAATTTTATCGAGTACATATTACGTGGTTTTGTTTCAGGCATTTTAAATCCTTCTGGGGTTTTCATATAAATATCACTATCTAGTGATCCATATAAATATGTTGTAACTAGGTCCATTAAATGCATATGCAATCTTTTTGTAACTGTCAAATGTATTATAAATCTAAATGTGGGTGCATCGATCACAGGGGAGTATGTTTCCATATAATCAATACCAAGTCTCTGTAAGAAACCTTGAGCTACCAGTCGGGCTTTGCGTATCACGATTTCATTTTTCTCATTACATTTTCGTACAAATACCCATTTGCACCCAACAGGATTAACACCCTCAAAGGTCTGGACTACAGGTCTAAATACTTCACGTTTAGCTAATGAATTTAGCTCTACTTGTATTACTTTTTTCTATTTTGGCCAATCATTTCTTCGTCAACATTCTTCGACGTTTTGAGGATCCGGATCCTCATTATTAATATCAAGAGCAACGACATATGAGAATATGTTATCGACAATAATTTCATTTCTATTCTATGTCGTTTCATAATTTAGTGAGATCTCATCATTTTCAGGTACATTTGCCTCATCAAGGGCATGTGCCTCATCAAGGGCCATATCATCATCTGTTGCCTTTGCCACATCAATATTTATTATTTTATCATTTTTAGGTACCTGGGCCTCATCAAGAGCCTTTGCCTTATCAAGGGCTATAATCTCAAATTGATCAATAATATTTGTTGCTCCTTTTGTGGCCTCTTCATGAGTGCCAATTTTCTTTGTGATTTTCTCTTACGAGAAACGATATCTTTTGCACCGATTGGTCTGTCACGCTTCAAGCGTGTTTTAGATGCATTCGTTGCATTACTGACAGAAGTTCCCTTAGGGACAGCAATTCGTGTTGGAATATTTGCAGCTGGTATATGTGATTTTATTATTTTCTTTGTATCAGTAAATGCATCAGGTAATTAATTTATAATATTTTGCAAGTGAATGATCCTCTAAACTTCTTGTTTACATTGATTCTTGCGAGGATCAAAATGAGACAATTCCAGCCTCATCAAAATGACAGTCAGCAAATCGTGCTTTAAAGACATCACCTGTCAGGGGTTTACATTGCTGCTGTGCCTTTTCTCCCCCTAATGGTGGGAAAACAGCCTCATCAAAATGACAGTCAGCAAATCGTGCTTTAAAGACATCACCTGTCAGGGGTTCAAGATATCTAATAATAGATGAAGAATCAAAACCAACATAAATTCCAAGTCCATGTTGAGGACCAATTTTAGTGCATTGTGATGGTGCAATTGGAACATATACAGCACAACCAAAAACTCGTATGTGAGAGATATTTGGTTGTTGACCAAAAAAAAATTGCAATGGTGAGTACTTATGATAAGCAGTTGATCGTATACGAACTAATGATGCAGCATGTAATATGGCATGTCCCCAGACAGAAACAAGTAATTTTGTTCGTATAAGCAAAGGGCGACCAATTAACTGAAGTCTTTTAATAAAAGATTCAGCCATACCATTTTGAGTATGAGTGTGTGCAACAGGGTGTTCAATATTAATTCTAACTGACATGCAATAATCATCAAAAGCTTGAGAAGAAAATTCAGCGGCATTATCAAGACGGATTGTCTTAATTGGGTAATCAGGAAAATGTTCCCGTAATTTGATGATTTGAGCAAGAAGTCTAGCAAATGCAACATTACGAGTAGAAAGCAGATAAACATGTGACAATCATGTTGAGGCATCAATTAAGACCATAAAATAGCGAAATGGTCTACAAGGTGGATGAATTGGCCCACATATATCCCCATGAATTCGTTATAAAAATAGGGGAGATTTAACAATGACCTTTGAAGGGGATGGTCTAATAATCAACTTACCTTGTGAGTAGGCAGTGCATAGATGATTATTTAGTAAGATGATTTTTTGATCCTTTAGTGGGTGTTTATGTGAATTTTCAATAATTCGACGCATCATTGTACTCCCCGGGTGACCAAGTCGATCATGCCAAAGTATAAAAAGTTTTGGGTCACAAGATTTTTTATGTATCACAGCATTTGACTCAATTGTCCTAATAGTTGTATAGTATAACCCAGAAGAGAAAATAGAGAGTTTTTCAAATATCAGTTTCTTGCATGATGTAATGGAAGTAATGTAGAGATATTCCATATTTCTTTCATTTGCGGTCTCAATATGATACCCATTACAATGCAAGTCTTTAAAACTCAATAGATTTCTTCGAGATCTTGTAGAATATAATGCATCATTAATTTGTAATCTTGTTCCACGTGCTAAAATAATGTTGGCTTGTCCAGAGCCTTCAATCAAGTCGGTAAGACCTGATATTGTACTGACACAAGCATTTGTCAAAACTAGGTGAGAAAAATATTTTTGATCTCGAAGGATTGTGTGTGTCGTTTCACTATCAGCAAGACATATATCTTCACCATTTATTATGGAACCAGTTAGATCCATTCCTATTCATGCAAATTTTTAAAAAAAATTGTTATAACAAAAGAAACTTTAATATAAGGAAAATAAAAATATGTTGAAGATAATATAGTAGAAAGAATATGAAAAATAAAAATAAAAAAATAAGATTAATTGGTGTGGACATTTCCATCACCAATCAGGTGGTTTATCTTTCCATCACGGTCCTCAAAAAAATCTGATACATCCAGATTTGTGATGTCAATTAGCTCATCATAATCAATGAAATTCATTTATCTCCATTTCCCCTTTTCTTTCATTGGGGCTTGGTAAAGTTCAGCCAGATGCTTAAGTGTATGACAAATGCTTTGTCAATGCCTTGTCATTCGATAACAAGTATTATCATATGTCATAGAAGGTTGAGCCACATCCTTTCCTTTTATTTGCTTCATTTCATTATAATATCGATCTTATTTGGGGATATGGTGTGGATCTCTGATTTCGAAATTTTAAGGATTGATATTCTTCACGGTAATAAGAGTGATTTTTACCACAACCATATTCCTTATTGTAGCCATTTCTACCAACACGATTATGTCTATTATCATGTCCACGTCCACGTGATGAGGCAACTATGTTTCAGGGATCGGTATCGATCCAGTTAGACGGGACTTGTGGTTTCTTAACAAAAACTTATTATTTTGTTATGCCACAAGTAAACATGATATCAGCTCTGAATATTTTTCAAATCCATGCTCTCGATATAAGTGTACATTCGAGACGTGAAATGTGGTAAATGTTTTTTCCAACAAATATTCACAATGATGGTATCACCACACAATTTCAGTGTAGAACTGATTTTAAATAGGGCAGAGTTGTATTCAGCCACAATTTTTAAAATCTTGCAACCGCAATTGCTGCCAATCAGCCCGAGCTTTTAGAAGGAAAACTGATGATCATATCTTTCTTTCAAATTTTTCCACAAACTCAGTGGATCTTTTTCAGTGATGTATTCAGTTTTTAGCTCCTCACTAATATGTTGACGAACGAAAATCATGGCATTTGCTTTATATAACATAATATGAAGTATTAGTATAATTAAATAACAAAGGCGGTAAAACCAGTCATAGTGAATAAATTATTAAACAATAAAGGCAGCAAAACCAGCTATAAATCATTAAATAATAAAGGCGGTAAAACTGGTCATAAATCATTAGATAATAAACGTGGTAAAACCGACCATAATTAGTAGATCATTAAATAATAAAAGTGGTAAAACCGACCATAGTGTAAGCACATATATTATTTAAGTGAACAAATTTATTTTATGAATAATAATCAATAATTAAAATTTTCTTACCCTTTGAAGTCAGAAATACAATTTTCTTCTATAAAGTTAACAAACCCAACAATCTATCAAAACTAATATCACAAAAGAGATATATAGTTGAGATAGAAAGAGGGAGAGAGAGCTTCTTCTTCAAATTTGAGATGGATAGAGTTCGTGATAATGTATAATAAATATATGTATATATATGTAGTAGGATTAAGAGAGATAAAGAAAACACGAGAAAGGAAATTAAGAGTAATTAATTTATATGCTTTCTCTAATAGTTTTTCAAATCAATATATATATGCCTATTTATAGGCTCAGAATGACGCTTCCTCTGTAAGATTCAAAATAAAGCTTCTACTGTAAGCCTTAATATGAAGCTTCCACTGTAAGTTTTAGTTGTGATCTTCCTCTTCAAGTTAAGGGTGTCATCCTGGATGACTTAAATCATTGTGGATCCTACACAAAACATAGATATGTATATATATATAACAATCATATTATTTTAAAATCATAACACTAAATTCCCTTCATATTGTCAACATCGGTTTTTTCTAAAATAAAAGATCAAAACTTTTTTCTTAAAACAAAAAATTGCTCTTCATTTTATTGTTGTTATTATTGATGTTTTTTCATTAGCTACTTTTGTATTGTTGTAGTTGTATGCTAAAGTCTATTAGAGAGAGATGTGGATCATTGGAGATTATTTTATTTTCTTTAGGTGCAAATAATATATTTTAAAAGTAATATTGTGTCACTATCGATGGGCTTCTAATAAAACACGCCTTATCTTTAACATGCCGTCTTGCCTCGGTCACACAAATTAAATGCATGAACTTGTATCTATCTGGATTGTCGCCTTATGGTTGTGAATCAATTATTAAAGACAAATAGGCTCTAAAATAGAACACTAATCATTAATGTATTTAGGAGTAATCACAATGACATAACAGATTTTTTATCCAACTTCCCAGTTTTGCCCCTATACCAACCAGAATATACAACCCATACTATAGGGACAGATTCTGACACCTAAAATGACCCTTCCAAAATACTCCGTATTTGATAAGTCGATTATTTTAATCACATTATTGTGTATTAGTTGGTCTAAAATTTAAGTAGGGGGGGTAAGTAATTCATACCTTCTGTAAAGTATCTTTCTATCCTTTTCGTTTCACCACTCGAGACATTACTGATCAGTGAGTGAGAAAAGAAAATTTTCTCAGTATTTGATTAGTCGGTGATATCATATTTTTTTAAAAATAAAGTTAAAAAAAAATTAATATTTTTAGGGACATAATATACAAATTTCTATATATATATGTAAAAATAATTTAAAAATTATAAGGCAAGCCAGGCCAAAGGGAACATGCCCCCCAGACATATGCTGGCCGCCCCAGTATTATGGGACGATATTCAGGGCAAGTTAAGCCATTTGCAAGTTTAGCCATTTGCATTCGTTATACAACCATACTTCAGTAATCCGCGAAGAATAAGAACAATTCAAAAGAATACTTTATAAATAGGTTATCTGAAAAAGAGTGAATCAAATTCTCACAGGTGAAGAAAGTAAGAAAAAAAAAAAAATGGCACAGGATACCATCAAATGTTAGAATCATTCCTGTGATTGAGGAGTGAAATTCAACCATCCAATCAAACCAGTTTTGATTCAAGCCATCGATTAATTTATTAATCATGGACAGTGCTCCATCAATTATGAGGGTAAAGCAGTAACACTGAGGAAAACAACAACTACAGTGTTAAAGTGACGGTAAAATTGTATGTGGATTATTAAGGCAACAATACATACCCACTGATTCCTCATCTTAGAAAAATTTTGCAGAAAAATGAAATCTAGAATATAGAGTTCCAGTTGACTCAAATCACCTTAAGAACGATGAAACACTAGTAAATATCAATCTCCCCAAAACACTTTCACTCGAGTGATAATGTTTAGACATAGTAACCGGTGAATGTAAATCCCCTTCCCACAATCTCTCCTGCGCAAAACCACGCGAAGCACTCCAGCCCAAACAAAGCAGCAGTGGTGGCATCACCAACATTCAAATCCTGCCTGTTCTTCCACATATTCTTGACATAATCAACTTCCTTCCAAAATGTCTCGTAACGACCAGGAATGCTGTAGTGTAAATAAGAATGGGTGAAAAAATAATTAGCAAACACATACATGCATAGACAGGCAAATTTATATAGGTTATCTTACTTCAGATGGTAACTATAACATATTCAGAAGTTAATTGATTAGAATGTATTACTACTTTCTTTCCCACTATAGCAAAGAACTTGATCCACTACAATAAGAAACTTAATATCAACTGCAAGGGGAAAATAAAGAACAATTTTTATTTGTATTTTTATTTTTTCATTTTCTTTTTTATTTTTCGGTGGGTGGGTGGGTGACTCAACCCACTCTAGTGAGAGAAAGAAATAAAGTATAAAGAATCACCGGAGTATACATCTCAGAACTCCACATAAGTCCAAAAAGATATTAATGAACTTGCCTACAACAATAAATATATATATATATATATATATATATATATATATATAAATTGCAGGAACCCTGCAGAATAGCTAAAAACATGAACAATATCAACATCCATTTGCTGGCATGATCAAAATACATCCCTTGCACAGGGTTGCGTCTCATAAATATGAAGGTAGTTTACATGGGGAGGGAAGAAGGATGTACCAAGTACCAACAAAGAGAGTAAACAACATAAAAGTCATAAAATAAGGCTCAAGTGGGTCTTTTAATGCCGCTGAATTGTTTATTAGCAAGATTTCTACAGTGTTTATTAGCAAGATTTCTACAGTGTTTATTAGCAAGATTTCTACAGTGTTTAGCATTTTCATTCCTTAATAGGCTTTACTCACACAATGAGCATAAAATCTTATCCGCTCTTCCAATTTCCTTGAGCAGGTTGAGGAGCAGAGCAATTATAAACTTTCCACATGATTATAGAAACTAATCAAGTTGTGATAGAGAACAGTGGCAGCAGCCTTTTAAGGTTTATAAAAGGCGTGGCAAGGAGGGTTCTAAGGCTCAAACCTTAATTTGGCACATGCTAGACGATGGGTCCACTTGGAGTCTTGCATAATTAGGGGGATTTGGTCAAATTGCATAATTATGGTAGCTTCCACTTGGAGTCTTGCATAATTAGGGGGATTTGGTCAAATTGCATAACTATGGTAGCTTGCATCAATTTCGATCAAATTACATCCGTCCATAGTAATTACTTTTATTATGCTAGAGTCAAATATTGATTACCTCAATTACGGGGTGATTACTTTTATTATGCTATAGAGTCAACTTTTGATTACCTCAATCATGGGGTAATTTGAGGGTCATAAGTTACTATAAGAAGGGTATGATGTAAACTTGCTGAGGCAGTCAAGGAATGAATAAAAATATCTTTGAGATTTCTTTGTGAGTGATTCACAATTTGTGAGGGTGTGAGGCCTTCTCTAGGTGTGATACCTGGACCTGTTGGTGTGATTCCAGTAGGTTTTTGTTGTTTTCAATCCGTTATCTCTACTAATATTTTGAACCATAGCTCTGTTTATTTTAATTAACAACCACTTCTCCTTTGGTTTTCTAAATTTCTACTATCAAACTCCAAATTTCTGCCCTAGTTCTTGAACTTTCAGACTCTGAATTCTTTGAGTTCTTAGCTATTTAAGGCTGCTCTCTTGTCCTACATCAGCTTTTGGTATCAGAGTTTGAGTTGACATCATGTCGACACAATCAGGAAATGAAAGATCGGGTATTAATCAGCAAGATGAGCTGATATCTAAGCTTGTGGAGCAGCTCAATGGGTTGAATGTCCGATTCAATGAGTTAGAAGCTCGAATGTGTCAGCCTATTAACAATTTTGCTCCTGCTGCATCCAGTACAAATGATGGCAGTGGTCGAGAGCAATAACATCCTTTAAATATGCAGCAAAGGCAGAATGTGAGGGCTGATCCACCACCACACCAAATGTTCGAGTTTCCGAGAAATCTGCTGGGAATGAATTATCATGTGCCACATGATAACGCTGGGGATATCACAAAGAAAATTAAAATGGAGGTGCCAGATTTTGAAGGTAAGGTTGATCCTACTATATTTTCGGATTGGCTTGCTTCGATTGAAGAATATTTTGATTGGTATGATATGAGTGATGATCGTAGAGTGAGATTTGCTAGAATGAAGCTTGTGGGCCTATCAAAAATATGGTGGACTGGTGTTGAAGGGGATATTAGGAGGCTGGGACAACCACCAATCAACACATGGCAAGAAATGAAGGCAAAGCTTCGAGAGAAATACATGCCAGGCCAATTACCATGACAAACTGTGTGATCAACTTATCAATCTAAAGCAGGGCAGCCTGTCAGTCGCAGAATATATGCAAAGATTTGATGAGTTAAAGACTAGAAGTCAAGTTGTGGAAGACCCGCGGCAAACACTTGCAAGATCAAGGCTGGTCTAAGGTCTGATATCAGAAGGGAATTGCTTCGCCAGTCATTATATGGTGTTGAACATGCTTTTCAGGTTGCATTGGACATGGAGGAATACTTGAGTTATCAAACGGCTCGATGATCTGGATATCAAACCTGGGATGCAGCACCCAAGAAGTCCAGTGATGGAAATCGCAGCACACAATCAGTAACAACGCAGCCGACTGGTGGAAATGCTGGATCAAAACTGCCCTTTTCTAACATGGTTGATCCTAAAGGGAAGAGTATTGTGGCAAACAAAGGTAGTGGAAGGAGTAACAAGTGCTTCAAATGTGGAGAAACAGGTCACATGGCATACCAATGCCCAAAGAAAAATTTACACATTGGGATAATGCCTAAAGAAGAGCCTGAAGAACATGGGGGAGAGGACAATGGGAACATGTTTGACTATGGGATCTACAACCCTGATGATCTAGAAGAGGATGAAGGTGTTCCATCAATCTCCGTTGTGAGGCACATCCTTGCAGCCCCTAAAGTTGAAGATGAAGATTGGCGGCGCACATCTATTTTTCAAATGCTAGTTCGTTGTGGAAATCAAGCTCGAAAGGTCATTATTGATGGCGGAAGTTGCATGAATGTTGTGTCTGCAGCCACGGTTGAGCGCCTCAAGCTTTCAGTCCAACCACATCCACAACCATTCAAAGTGGCGTGGATGGATAGTACTTCTATTCCGGTAACTCAACGTAGTCTCGTTTCTTTCTCTTGTGGAGCTTATAATGATTCTGTTTGGTGTGATGTAATTCCCATGAAAGTGACACATATTCTTCTTGGGCGGCCTTGGATTTATGATCGAGATGTGTATCATTGTGGGAAGGAGAATACATACACTTTCTTGTTTAACAACAAGCAAATTATTTTGAAGCCTATGTCCTCAGCTGAAATGGAGAAATATAAAGGTGGACAGGCTGTAGATGATGCAAAAAACAAGAAAAAGCCCCTCAATCTCCTTTCCAAGAAGAGGTTTCAATTGGAAAGTAAAGAGATGGGTGTTGTATATGCTGTTGTAGCAAGGGAAATCAAAGAAACTGCTGCTGTTCATGATTCTTCAATGCCATCAGAGGTCGCCAATTTGCTGTCAGATTTCTCAGATTTATCTCCCTAATGAACTCCCTCCTCTACGTAATATCCAGCATGCGATCGACTTGGTACCGGGATCTCCATTGCCTAACCTTCCAGCTTATCGTTTGAATCCAAGCGAGCATGCCGAGCTTCTGAGGCAAGTTAATGAGCTGTTGTCCAAAGGATTTATCCGGGAAAGCTTAAGTCCTTGTGCTGTCCCAGCTTTGCTCACACCAAAGAAGGATGGTAGTTGGCACATGTGTATTGACAGTCGCGCCATCAACAAGATTACAATCAAGTATCGGTTTCCTATTCCTCGAATCGATGATTTGCTAGACATGGTGGCTGGTTCTTATATATTTTCAAAGATAGATCTGAAAAGTGGTTACCATCAAATTCGCATAAGGCCCGAGGATGAATGGAAGACAGCTTTCAAGACAAAAGATGGACTCTACGAGTGGCTTGTTATGCCATTTGGTCTTTCCAATGCCCCTAGTACATTCATGCGCTTCATGACTCAGGTATTGCGGCCCTTTATTGGTCGTTTTCTGGTTGTTTACTTAGACGATATTTTAATCTACAGCAAAACGAGGGAGGAACATATTTCCCACCTTCAACAAGTTATGAGAGTTCTCCACCAAGAGAAGCTTTACATGAACTTGAAGAAGTGTTCCTTCATGTTGCCGAGTGTGGTGTTTTTGGGCTTTGTTGTTTCTTCCAAAGGGGTAGAAGCTGATCCTGATAAAGTGAAAGCAATTCTAGATTGGCCAATTCCCAGCACATTGCAGGAAGCACGGAGTTTTCATGGGCTAGCTTCATTCTATCGGCGATTTATTAGAAATTTCAGCACAATAATGGCCCCTATTACCAATTGTATGAAGAACAGCCAGTTTGTTTGGACAAAGGCAGCAGCAGAGGCTTTCGAAGAAGTGAAGAAAAGAATGACTGCAGCTCCTATTTTACGCCTTCCAGACTTCTCAAAAGTGTTTGAAGTTGCATGTGATGCTTCACAGGTCGGAATTGGAGGCGTACTCAGTCAAGAAGGACATCCGGTTGCATATTTTAGTGAGAAACTTAATGAAGCAAAGCAAAGGTATTCCACTTATGACAGAGAGTTTTACGCTGTGATTCAAGCACTTCGCTACTGGCGTCATCACCTTCTTTTTAGGGAGTTCGTTTTTTATTCTGATCACGAGGCCCTCAAATATATCAACTCCCAAAGGAAGTTAAGCCATTCTTGCAAGAGTACTCATTTGTCATCAAACATAAAGCTGGTGTTGAGAACAAGGCAGCCGATGCACTTAGCCGAGTTGTTCATATTCTTGCCTCCATGGCTGTTCAAGTTCTTGGTTTCGATATGCTTAAACGAGATTACTTATCTTGCACGGACTTTAGCATCATACATGCTGATTTGATAGCTGGACAGCAGGGTACATATCCTGATTATTCGGTACATGATGCTTTTCTTTCAAGAAGTTGTTCGGCTTCATGTATTGCCAAACACCATTGTTTCTGATCGAGATACAAAATTTATGAGTTATTTTTGGCGCACATTATGGAAGATGCTGAATACAAGGCTGAAGTTTTCCTCTTCTTTTCACCCCCAAACTGACGGCCAAACTGAGGTTATTAATCGCAACTTGGGTGATTTGCTTCGCTGTCTTGTTGGTGACCATATAAGCTGGGACCAGATTCTTCATATGGCTGAATTTGCCTACAACAGTTCTGTAAACAGATCCACAAGGCGCAGCCCGTTTGAGATTGTGACAGGTTTATGTCCTCGGAAACCAATTGACTTAGTTCCTTTACCAATTGTGGCACGCCCTAGTGCTGAAGATGATGCTTTTAGTAAGCATATCAGAGACATCCATGCAAAAGTTCGAAGGAAGATTGCACTGAGCAATGAGACTTACAAAACACAAGCTGATTTGCGGAGGAAGATTGCTGAATTTGAGGAAGGAGATATGGTTATGGTGCGAATAAGACCTAAACGATATCCTAAAGGTGCTTATAAGAAGCTTCACGCAAAGAGTGCTGGCCCATACAAAGTTCTCAAGAAAATTAGCTCCAATGCTTATGTTCTTGACCTACCAGAAGAGATGGGTATCAGTAAAGTCTTCAACATTGAAGATCTCACCTTGCATTCAGGCCATTTTGCTAATCCATTTCTTGTTGATCCTACCACTCGCCTTCCCCCAACCCCACATGTAAAGGAGGAAATAGAAGATGTTGTTGATCATCAACTTGTTTCAACAAGGGCTGGCGGTTATCAAAAATTCCTCGTTAAGTGGAAAGGACAGCCACTTTCTGATTGTACATGGATTAGCGACAGTGAGTTCCAACATCTAGCTCCAGACCTCTATGAACAATTTCATGCATTTACCTTGCCGGGGTCGAGTTTTTTCAAGCCGGGGAGAATTGATAGAGAACAGTGGCAACAGCCTTTTAAGGTATATAAAAGGCGTGGCAAGGAGGGTTCTAAGGCTCAAACCTTAATTTGGCACATGCTAGACGATGGGTCCACTTGGAGTCTTGCATAATTAGGGGGATTTGGTCAAATTGCATAATTATGGTAGCTTGCATCAATTTCGATCAAATTACATCCGTCCATAGTAATTACTTTTATTATGCTAGAGTCAAATATTGATTACCTCAATTACGGGGTGATTACTTTTATTATGCTATAGAGTCAACTTTTGATTACCTCAATCATGGGGTAATCTGAGAGTCATAAGTTACTATAAGAAGGGTATGATGTAAACTTGCTGAGGCAGTCAAGGAATGAATAAAAATATCTTTGAGATTTCTTTGTGAGTGATTCACAATTTGTGAGGGTGTGAGGCCTTCTCTAGGTGTGATATCTGGACCTGTTGGTGTGATTCCAATAGGTTTTTGTTGTTTTCAATCCGTTATCTCTACTAATATTTTGAACCATAGCTCTGTTTATTTTAATTAACAACCACTTCTCCTTTGGTTTTCTACATTTCTACTATCAAACACCAAATTTCTGCCCTAGTTCTTGAACTTTCAGACTCTGAATTCTTTGAGTTCTTAGCTATTTAAGGCTGCTCTCTTGTCCTACATCAAGTTGTGAGACTGCTAATTGCCAAATTCTCACCATCCATGGTGCCTTAAGCAATACTTTGATGGCATAACACAGCTGCACCAATTCCTTCCACAAATCCTATTAGTCTTCAACAACATGAACTTATGCTACATTCCACATGCAATAATGGGTTGAAATGGAATAGTGTGAGAAAGATGCTGCAGTGTAATCACCATTTCAATCCATTGTTTGGTTGCAAAATTGTAATGATGCATGAATGAAATGATCGTTCATGTTCCAGCGTTTGGTTAACCTAGTTAATAGAATAAGTCCTCAAACTTATTTCCCCCAAAAAACACATTCTATAATATATAATGTATTATGTACTATAATAGAAATTACATATAAAATATGTATAACATGGCATTATGTTATAATTATATAACAAAAGTAGTCTAACATATTATTATGTTTGTATAATATAATATGATATTTATTAGTAGTATAGTATATTGTATACAATACATCATGATATATAATATATATTGGTATACATATTTCTTCTAATTTTCTCTGGCCTATATTTTTGTGTTTCTGCTTCAAACTGGTGTATATGTGCATATATATATATATATATATTGATAAATAAAACTCCTGTGTTGTTTTTGTTCATTTTTTTAAATTTTCTGATAGAATGAAATACCCATTCCCTAAATCAGGAGGAATGATGAACAATCCAACATGGTCATACAAAGAAAATGGACGAGAAACTTCCATTGTGGCTGCAGTTCCATCGTACCAAGTGTGACATGGAGGACACATATTCCATAGGATTACTCTAGAAACGTAGTAAGAATATGCAGTAAGATTGGCAACACAACACTAAGATTATCCCATCCAAATTTTTTTTGTGAAGGTAAGCAATAAATATATTGAATTACTCTTCAAAGGCGATGCGTAGGCATTAACTTGCCTTTCTATATCTTATCATCCATGCATCACATAAATGCTTTCCTAAAATTGAGCTCCATGCAACACAAACTACCAATGTTCCAGTAATTCAGTAAGACTATATGACGAATGGTGCATCATGATACTCCCAATAGGAAAACAATTCAAAAATCAAGAAATAAGAATGTCAAAACTATTGTATGCCGACCACAAGTACATTAGTGATTTAGAACTCATATAAAGTCACAATTAGCAAAATTTAAACAAACTGAGAACAACTACCAAAACACAAACCTAATTTAAAGCATGCCCAGGCATCTAAAGAAGACTAATTTGGTTCGTTAAGTTTGCGGCATAACCAATGTATAATTTCAAATGAGACAATTATGGAAAATTTTCCGCAATCTTCACAAATGAAGTTCCAAATATGCAAGTTCACAACTATATGCCATCAGTTGCAACCATAGCACCAATTATTTGTGATGCACCTTTCTGCATAATAATAGGACAACAGATTTGTTTGTCAAAATCCAAGGACATCCAAGTACACCGTTAAAGAACTCAACAAACCGTGCCTTGAAAATTACAACAGATTAATGTGTATATGTTTATGTATGTATTTGTGTGTAAAATGCATGAGCCGCCAAACAGATATGATCAACCCTATCACCCTGAACCAAGTCAAAATAAACTCAAGGGCCAAGTCAACAAGGGTACAGAGAGAATAACCTAGCAAGGCGAGTGTAGAATAACTGCTTGGACAACAGGTTCAATGTGTCCACGGTAGGTGGCTGCTGAATGTAATGCTTATTCTGCTCCATCAACTGATTGTGGTAAGCAGTTCCATGCTTGGCCACAAATTGCGACGCTTGACGCACCTTGGATTGCAATTGTTGTAACTTTGCCGCCATCGAATCCCAAATTAACCCTGAAAACAGTGAGTAAAGACTGAAACATTAATAAATCAAACAATGCACCCATTAACCAGAGAGGGATAAAAAATAAAAATAAAAATAAATAAATAAATAAATAATAATAAAATTTGACAGAATTCAATGCATCAAAGCAACAAAGAAAATTAATTAAAACAAAAATAAATAAATACATAACATCCAACGCTCAGACTCCATTAATTCGACATTGTCAGAAGTCCCCCAATCATTTCGCAAGACCCTATAACAGAATATCTAAGCTACAAATGCTACATGTAAGTACCTAATCGGCATTGTCTGGAAACAGACATATAGTTACAAAATGAAAAGGGCTTATTTCAATCCAACTAAAAAAAGCTCCTTCAGTTCACATTTTGAAAAACTTATCTCCCCCTTCAGAGAAAAAAATCAAAAATGAGTCCTTATCTCCCCTTAGAGAGCAATTTTTGCTCTGAAAAAGCAAAATGAGCGTTCTTGGATATGTTATCCAAACAATGCCTACCCTTCTCATGTTGCCCTTCACAGATCAGGACACCACAATGAATAAACACAACAGTGTCAAACAGCTGGAAAGAGCAAATCAAACCCTAACTACCAAATCACGGACCAGAATGTAAACATATTCACAAACACACACACAATAGATATACAGAACCTATAATTGGTGTAATAGCATATATGGCGATAATTCAGAGCACGGGATCTGAGCCAAAGTGGAGGCAAACCTCAAAGAGAAACAGATAAAAACACAATTGGAATTGAATTGCAAATCAGAGAAGAATGAGTGAATTTGAATGCTTCCTTACGTTCTGTGAATTCGAATGAATGTTGAGACGCGACGAGAGTGTCTTGTCCTTCAATTCTCTCGCCGCTCAGCTTTTGCGCTTTGTGATTCCGCAAGTTCTCAATAGTGAGGCAACGTTTGGATTATCACTACTTTTTCAGCTACATGCTGGTCACTTTTGACTTGGGACGATTTTGGTATTTCACAAATTTATAAATATTATTGTGAATAATTTATAATAAGGAGTTGTTATTCACGCTGCTGCAAAATTTTACTAGGGCTATCCAACTACGTCTTCATCTTCTTCTATTTCATGGATTCTCTCTGGATTCCAAAATATATAAAAAGATATATACTATATATATAATTGTAATTGAGGTACGTTATATATAAAAAGATATAATTTTAAGAAACTTTGAAGATTCAACCAAATATATATATAAGAAATATATACAGTGTGTAATTGTGGTACATTATATAACATATTTATAATCTCTAATACTAAAAGGAAGAGATCAATTATAAATCAAACTCAATAATTTTGAAAAACTTTCAAGCTTCAACGTTAAATTATACTGTTAACAATCAGTTTCAATACTAATAGAGGACTAATCCAAAGTTCACAAAAAATGAGCAATCCCAAGATTTTCTTAGTTTTGCTGTTAATTCTTTTTTCTTTTTTTAAATCCAATTCTGCTTTTGTTCATATTGGTCATGCAACCATTGTTGCAAATTGTAATAGAAAATTCCACTCTTGCTCTCTGCAATAACTTAATGCTGTAAACAAAAAAAAGTTTACTTATTCTTCTAGTTGAAAACTTGATTCTAACATTTTTACAAGCATTTGCCTGATCAAACTTCATATGTTTAATTTTTATTATTATTATTTTTTATTTATGTACTATTGTAAAGAAGGAATGAGACAAATGGTGAATTATAAAAATATGAGCAATCTGGAGATTTTTTTAACAAGCTTTGGAGTTAATGCTAATAATATACATGGTCTTTGATGGTTTTATTGAGAAAACGTTGTTGAGGCAGTGAAGGTTATTCTTGTCATTTTATTTATAAATATATAGAAATGCAGTGCCTAAAAATGATTTTGGAGCACCAATAACACATCCCTTTTATAATATCATTGCTTTCTCTTGGCTATTTGTATTACAAAAAAATTTTTAACTTTTGCAGCTTTTGCTTAACGTGCTTTGTCATTTTGACTCCTCAACAATTAGCGTTAAGTGAAAGAATAAAAGAAATTGGTATTATATAATTTAATTTTACTAAGGCAAAAAAGTTTTGTTATTTGATTTTGTTAAATTTTAGTAAAAGATAATTTTTTAAAAAAATATTAATAATATGGAAGATCATTGTAATCCTTGAGTCAATTGAAAAACTCGTGTAATTGTACACACTTAGGCGAGTGTAATTTATTTATTTATTTATTTATTTGATCATGAAAATCGAAACAAGTCTAGAATTCATGTGAGAGGTCCGGCATCAAGTGTGTTGCTATCTTAGCCAACTAGAGAAGTAATCACATCCTTACCCTCAAACTAGCACACAAATCTAGTCCCAATCATCAAGATAAGAAGTGGACATTTTATTAAAATTTTATTGTTCTAGGTGCGCTTATTCTTTTCACTCTATTTTTTTTCTTTTTTTTTTTTCTTTTTTTTATTGAGGATCAAAGATGGAAATATTGTGCAATGTGTTGATCTCTTAAGCTTTCTAGAAGATTCATGTAGCGAGCTTTAGGTCAATGACTCCCAAACCAGATGGCTTTAGGACATTAGGTGTTAAGACACCCCTACGGACTTACAAACTCAAATCAACTAGGCTACAAATCAAGACAACAACCATCTAATCATTTCTACTTCTCACCTTTTGGGAGAAGTCCTCACTTTTATTACTTTTGCAACTTTCTTTTTTTTTTCTTTTTTTTTTATTTTTATTTTATTTTTATTTTTTATAATAATCAATTATTAACCTAATCTTTGTGGATCAAGGCGAATAAGAGGTACGAAATACTCCCCTCAAGTCTTAATATGTCGTAAACAAACGACTTTGAGATGAGTAATGATACATTTTTCGAATGTTGCCTAATAATTACGTAAATAGAGATGTCGATCTTACACACTTATATTAGTATAGTAGACATGGGCCCACGTTCACACTTCCACTCAAATCAACCCCTCAAAAAATTATTTGCACTCAAAATGAATTGAATTTTAAACTCACAATACACGCACCATTCAAATTTCGAAAGCAAGACCTTAAGGACTTATTTCCTGAATCCCTACTAATGCTGTTATATCCTTGAAGATATATATATATATATATATATATATATATATATATATATATATTATATAATCTCTTAAAATGATTTTAAGTTTGTTAGTTCTTTATTTTATAACATAAAGAATAAGTTGCTTATTTGCTGCTAATTTTGGCTCTGATTCTGTTTCTTAGGGGCCGTTTGGCAATCATGGTTACAAGCATTTGCCTGATCAAACTTCATATGTTTAATTTTTATTATTATTATTTTTTATTTATGTACTATTGTAAAGAAGGAATGAGACAAATGGTGAATTATAAAAATATGAGCAATCTGGAGATTTTTTTAACAAGCTTTGGAGTTAATGCTAATAATATACATGGTCTTTGATGGTTTTATTGAGAAAACGTTGTTGAGGCAGTGAAGGTTATTCTTGTCATTTTATTTATAAATATATAGAAATGCAGTGCCTAAAAATGATTTTGGAGCACCAATAACACATCCCTTTATAATATCATTGCTTTCTCTTGGCTATTTGTATTACAAAAAAATTTTTAACTTTTGCAGCTTTTGCTTAACGTGCTTTGTCATTTTGACTCCTCAACAATTAGCGTTAAGTGAAAGAATAAAAGAAATTGGTATTATATAATTTAATTTTACTAAGGCAAAAAAGTTTTGTTATTTGATTTTGTTAAATTTTAGTAAAAGATAATTTTTTAAAAAAATATTAATAATATGGAAGATCATTGTAATCCTTGAGTCAATTGAAAAACTCGTGTAATTGTACACACTTAGGCGAGTGTAATTTATTTATTTATTTATTTATTTGATCATGAAAATCGAAACAAGTCTAGAATTCATGTGAGAGGTCCGGCATCAAGTGTGTTGCTATCTTAGCCAACTAGAGAAGTAATCACATCCTTACCCTCAAACTAGCACACAAATCTAGTCCCAATCATCAAGATAAGAAGTGGACATTTTATTAAAATTTTATTGTTCTAGGTGCGCTTATTCTTTTCACTCTATTTTTTTTCTTTTTTTTTTTTCTTTTTTTTATTGAGGATCAAAGATGGAAATATTGTGCAATGTGTTGATCTCTTAAGCTTTCTAGAAGATTCATGTAGCGAGCTTTAGGTCAATGACTCCCAAACCAGATGGCTTTAGGACATTAGGTGTTAAGACACCCCTACGGACTTACAAACTCAAATCAACTAGGCTACAAATCAAGACAACAACCATCTAATCATTTCTACTTCTCACCTTTTGGGAGAAGTCCTCACTTTTATTACTTTTACAACTTTCTTTTTTTTTTCTTTTTTTTTATTTTTATTTTATTTTTATTTTTTATAATAATCAATTATTAACCTAATCTTTGTGGATCAAGGCGAATAAGAGGTACGAAATACTCCCCTCAAGTCTTAATATGTCGTAAACAAACGACTTTGAGATGAGTAATGATACATTTTTCGAATGTTGCATAATAATTACGTAAATAGAGATGTCGATCTTACACACTTATATTAGTATAGTAGACATGGGCCCACGTTCACACTTCCACTCAAATCAACCCCTCAAAAAATTATTTGCACTCAAAATGAATTGAATTTTAAACTCACAATACACGCACCATTCAAATTTCGAAAGCAAGACCTTAAGGACTTATTTCCTGAATCCCTACTAATGCTGTTATATCCTTGAAGATATATATATATATATATATATATATATATATATATATATATATATATTATATAATCTCTTAAAATGATTTTAAGTTTGTTAGTTCTTTATTTTATAACATAAAGAATAAGTTGCTTATTTGCTGCTAATTTTGGCTCTGATTCTGTTTCTTAGGGGCCGTTTGGCAATCATGGTTACAAGCATTTGCCTGATCAAACTTCATATGTTTAATTTTTATTATTATTATTTTTTATTTATGTACTATTGTAAAGAAGGAATGAGACAAATGGTGAATTATAAAAATATGAGCAATCTGGAGATTTTTTTAACAAGCTTTGGAGTTAATGCTAATAATATACATGGTCTTTGATGGTTTTATTGAGAAAACGTTGTTGAGGCAGTGAAGGTTATTCTTGTCATTTTATTTATAAATATATAGAAATGCAGTGCCTAAAAATGATTTTGGAGCACCAATAACACATCCCTTTTATAATATCATTGCTTTCTCTTGGCTATTTGTATTACAAAAAAATTTTTAACTTTTGCAGCTTTTGCTTAACGTGCTTTGTCATTTTGACTCCTCAACAATTAGCGTTAAGTGAAAGAATAAAAGAAATTGGTATTATATAATTTAATTTTACTAAGGCAAAAAAGTTTTGTTATTTGATTTTGTTAAATTTTAGTAAAAGATAATTTTTTAAAAAAATATTAATAATATGGAAGATCATTGTAATCCTTGAGTCAATTGAAAAACTCGTGTAATTGTACACACTTAGGCGAGTGTAATTTATTTATTTATTTATTTATTTGATCATGAAAATCGAAACAAGTCTAGAATTCATGTGAGAGGTCCGGCATCAAGTGTGTTGCTATCTTAGCCAACTAGAGAAGTAATCACATCCTTACCCTCAAACTAGCACACAAATCTAGTCCCAATCATCAAGATAAGAAGTGGACATTTTATTAAAATTTTATTGTTCTAGGTGCGCTTATTCTTTTCACTCTATTTTTTTTCTTTTTTTTTTTTCTTTTTTTTATTGAGGATCAAAGATGGAAATATTGTGCAATGTGTTGATCTCTTAAGCTTTCTAGAAGATTCATGTAGCGAGCTTTAGGTCAATGACTCCCAAACCAGATGGCTTTAGGACATTAGGTGTTAAGACACCCCTACGGACTTACAAACTCAAATCAACTAGGCTACAAATCAAGACAACAACCATCTAATCATTTCTACTTCTCACCTTTTGGGAGAAGTCCTCACTTTTATTACTTTTGCAACTTTCTTTTTTTTTTCTTTTTTTTTTATTTTTATTTTATTTTTATTTTTTATA